AAATCCTCAGGGCAGTCACTTTTCCCAAAAACGTATTATGTTCCAATCCACACCAATGAGTCACGCTCTTTTTAATTTAGACTTAGTGTCGCGAATATCCGAGTTCGGACCTGTTTTGTATTAGTCTGGTTCTTTTTGAAAGGCAAGTTACCAGTGCAGTCACTGATACCTAGCCTGTGTATTAATAACCTAATACCTCTCGCTTTTTAGTCTTTCTTTCGTTTACCTAAGTCCTTAATAAAATGATACCCCTCCGGATTGGCACAAATAGGACCCTTCCGGACTGTCAGAATATGGACCCCTCCGGATTTGGACCCCTCCGAATTAGCAACTATAAGACCCCTCCGGATTCGGACCCCTCTGACTTTGAAAAATTTCGACCCCTCCGGATTGGGAGCCCTTAGCTCTGTCAAAGTAGCTTTTTGTAGCTTTCTTAATTTCAGCTTATACCCCTCCGGATACGTTCTGCGTTGCTTTTATGCTGTTTGAATTAACTGGGAAGGGTATAGGGTCCTTTCCTAGACCGCTCCGGATTGAAGTTAAGGCACTTATTGGACAATTCACACTAACGGTGAAGGGTCTTATCACTTGCGTAATTTCGACTCTATTATGGTTGTCTTGTGCTTTCAGCCCTCCCTTTTTGTCTAGAACTGTCCTAAGTTACTTAGTTCAATCGCTATCAACTTTTGGTAGGGGTATAAGGGTTTTTCAGAAAAATTTATAAAACGTGAAGGGTGTACCCCTCCGGATTTGTGTAATTTGCTAAAAACAATCTCAAAAATTTTCTCGCTCGCTTTTTCGAGTAATTCTCTTTCCTACTAGTAAGTTCAGCTAATTTCTGATCTAATGGTACCAAGATTGACTCGATATGCTCTGTAGTTCCAAAGTTATTAACCAAAACGTCTTTTTTCCAAACTCAAAAATTTTCTCTCTTATAGGTTCCGCCTAACTTTTTCCGCAAATCTGGTCCTTTCGACCTAAAAATTATTGATCTGAGCTCAAAAGGCCTATGCTCTTCTAGTTCAATGCAAAAGACCCGATCTAAAACGCTTTTGTAGAAAAATTTTGCGAAAAACTATGCTACCTGGACCCCTCCGGATTGATGAATCCACCAAATCAAACACGTTATGTTCGATTTCTCTGCAACCCGGAAGGCTTTCGGGTAGCGGGTTTTAAAACTCGTAGATTCACTAGTGGACGTTGTCCGAACAACTATTTTTACTGTCCTGACTCAAAGATTTCAAAAAATTTTCTGATTTTATAGTGTTTCTTACTATCAAAAATTGGGAAAATTTGGTTTTTGGTACCAAACTAGTTCCAACCACTTCCGAACTCAAGTTAACCGGTTCTATTTATTACAGTAGTGCAGTTACGATGTAACACACTAACTTAGCGCTTTTTTCCGTTTCAAAAAATATCGATATCTCAAAAATCGCGACTTGTGGGGGGATCAAAATATCGCTATTTTGACCCTAAAAACCGGTCTGTTTTCGTTGTTTTTCACTGAAAAACGATATAAGACTATTAATATAGGCTATATAAATCATAATATTAGTAATACTTTACCCCTCCGGGTTTGTTTATTATCCGAATTAAGGTGCTTAACTCGGATATTCGCAGTTCGGTGAAGGGTCACTACAGTGCAGCACTGTCGAGCCCCCCCACAGATTACTACCTTACTTTTTGTACCAAAAGGGATACAAAACTTGTTAACGATACCCAACAGTCAATTGTTGTTGTCGTTGAGCCCCTTCTTGTTGCTCCTTGTACTGCTTGCCGGATCGGTCTTCACCCAGGACCCTTCCGAATTGAGCGCAAATCAGCTGACCCTTCCGGATTGAGCGCAATTTATCATTAACTTGCTTAAATGCTCAAATAACCCTACAGTACAAGCCTCACAAACGGGCCACAAAATTGATCGTAACGATCCTGACTGATATAAATGCCTTCAACAACAATATATCTATCAACAACAACCGGGGGGGTTGAATCACATCTTGTCTGGGGGGATGATTTCTACTGATTTTTTACTTTTTTACTGTTTTTGGTTTTTTCGGTTATTTTTTATGTTTTTTTGTTTTTCTTGGGTACTATACTATTTTTTGTTTGGTTTTACTTATATCTTTAAGTGTTTTTGGTCACAAACTACTCAGGGGATGAGGGGTTTATGATTCCCCCCACCCTTCCTGGTTCGTGAATTTTCGGTCTTAACTAGGTTAAAAAACTATTCACGGTAATCCGGAAGGCTTCCGCGTTCCGAACTACCCTTCCGCCCCGGCAGTTTAGGCCTATTAAGGGCGTTAATGTGAGCATCCGCTCGGCGCGGAGTGCTCGTTAACGGTTCCGCCGGTCATGATGTCATGAAAGAATGCCCACCCAGGAGCGCCATAAAAACATACATGATGCTCCTAACCGGTAACGAGCAATTCCGGTATCTCTGCAGAATTCGGAATTGCAATTCCGAATTCTGCAGAGATTGCATTTTGGCCATTCTGGTCGAATGTCACACCAACTGTCAGTTGGCTATGTTCTTTTATGCAATTCAATTGTTTTGCAAAAATCTTGAAAGACTGAAGTTGTTACGTCAAGTAATGTTTTCAATTAAACCATTCAATGGCTAGATTTTCAATGGCTTATATTTTATCAAAAACTATTGCATCCAAGTTCGATTCCCAGGATCTAATAAAATTGATTTTTCAGCTGCAGAAACTTAGGTGTAAGAGAAGCCTAAGACGTAAGAAGCATCCAGAAGCCGGGATCTGACTCTTAAGTTTTGTACTATAATTAAGTTGAAGTCATTAATTATAAAAATTTTAAATTAGTGATGAATTCCCACAGGTCCCAATATTTATGGCACCCAAAATAAAAAAAATCAGTCGCAAAAGTCCCAAAATGTATGTTCTTGAACTCTGATTGGTTGAAATTTGAGCCAACGAGTTTATGGAATGATTGTTTGCTGTTCAAGCAGCATAAACTCAAGCTGCAGAATAGTGACCGCCGCAGCTGTGCCAAAGGGAAGATCTCTGTACGAAATTTAGGAAGCGGCAACGCGCGCAGAGCGGGCCCACCGGTGACCTTAAACCAAGACTCGGCTAATTTAGTCTTTTGACCAATTGAAAAGATTTGGGTCTTATGCGACTGCTCTTTTATTTTGGTACCTATGGGACTGATGTTTCATTTTGGGACCTATGAGTACGCACCAAATTAGCCTCAACGAAATATGCATAACGAAGTTTAGATAAATGATCAGAATTGGACGAGATGGTTTCTAATATGTTAATTTACAGATAATGCTATGCAGAATCAATAAAAGGTAATCGAAAGGTATTTACGTAATAATGAAAGGTGCATCCTGGATCCTGCCTCCAATTTTGAATGCCCGAATCATTTAAGTGAACGAGATAAGACGATTTTTGAGATTTTAACAAAATATTTCAGAAATTTCAAACAACAAAATAATTTACAAAAGTTGAAGTTCCCAACCCTGTAGTTGGGTACTGTCAGAGTACTATCAAGGATTTACAAGTCTTGCCTCCAAAAATGACTGTTCAAATCCTTGTAATTTTCGAGATCTGACGTTTTTCGTGATTTTTCAAAAAAATTTCAGAAAACTTATATTAATTTTTTTCGCAAATCTGAAATTGCCAACCATGTAGTTGGATCCTGTCAGAGTAATCTCAGAGATTGCGAATCTTGCCTCCAAATAAGACTGCTCAATTCTTTGTAGTTATCGAGATATGACGTTTTTTGTGATTTTTTCAAAAATTTTCAGAAAATTTAAATTATTATAATTTAAAATTCTGAAATTCCCAACCCTGTACTTAGGTCCTGTCAGAGTACTCTCAAGGATTGCGAATCTTGCCTCCAAATATGACTACTCAATTCTTTGTAGTTTTCGAAATGTGACGTTTTTTGCGATTTTTTCAAATTTTCGGAAAGTTTTAATTCATCATTTTTCAAAATTTGAAAATCCCAACGCTATAGTTCGGTGCTGTCAGGGTACTCTAAAGAGTTGCAAATCTTGCCTTATGCGACTGCTCAAATGCTTTAGTTTCCGAGATGTGACATTTTTTGATTTTTACAAAAATTCACAAACAATTTATCTACAAAGAAATTCCAAAATTTTGAAACTAACTTGATGAAGATACAACCTTATTGTCAGCGTACACCGAGACGTCTCAAAGCTTGCCTTTTAATATGAATGCTCAAATCCTTTCAGTTTCCGAGATAAGACTTTTTTTCAATTTTTTTTCGGGAAACTTAGGTTTAAAAAAATTCACAAAATTTTGGATTCCTAATCCTATAGTAGGATACTCTCAAGGACTCTCAGTGATTACAAATCTGGCCTCCAATTTTCTCCAGAGGCCCATTAAGTTTTCGAGATGACGCTTTTAAAATGGGAATCAAAAAATTAAAAGTTCGAAATTACCAACCCTGTAATTGGGTGCAGTCAGAGTACACTAAAAGTTTGCAGATGTTGTTTGCAATATATGCAGTTTTTCATGAGTTGTCGAAAAATATCGAAGCACCGAAGGTGCGTTAAACGCTAGTAATAACTATATACTTGTGAAATATATTGCTACGTTGATTGCAAATCTAAATTGAAACTTTGCTAGTTTTAGTTCGTGTCAACCTGTCGTGGTTGGTAAATTGCCATTTCGGTAAAACTCATGCGCGCGATATTCAATCAACCTGATTTAAATCATGCAACCCTGGTTTATACTCTATTATGTGGCATGTGGCTCTGTTTCCTCTCCCCCCCCACCACACATAAGCATCAGCATCATCTTTATGGTGTAACGAGGGGTTTTACAAGGTTAAACATGAAGACAAAATATGTATGTCATGGCCTAATTAGTTCGCATGCCAGTTTTTGTTACATTCGGAATTCGGATAACGTGAACAAAGTTTCACTAGTAAAGTTTGAATGTTGAAGAGGGGAGGAAAAAGATTTGGTTGCTTAGTTTTCTAGAAACTCAAAAAAGCTCAGGTGTATATTTCATTATTATTGTTTTTGATTTCATGATTTCAGTTAAATTCGGGCAGTTTTTGGCCGTCTTTGGTTTCGTATTATTTTATCATCCGGGCGCCAATGTAAATTTTTCAAATGTTTGAGAGTGAAGTTTGAAACAAACAGATTTCCTTCGCATCTTGCTCTTTCTTCTTCGGGCGTAAACGTTGAATCGAATTTTTGAAACCCAGATTGTCGAGGGTTGGTTGTTTCAAACGACTTCGAGAGTACAACGTTGTAGTCTTCCCTGAGATCTGAAACAGAAATATTTTAGGTATGCTGTTTTTTGTACATTGATTTTACAATGACTAACCTGATTCTGATGCCATCAGAGGTTCGATTTCATTTTTGAGATCTTCGATTTTCAGTGGGTAATGTTTCTCTGCAACGATGATCTTGTGGATTTCTAAAAGTGTCGGACCCTCGTGTCCGTATTGCATAAGTGACTTGATCTCCTTTTTGTTTTGTGCTGTATGTGGGTGACTGATACTGACTCCGGGAGTTGATTGGCGTTTCTCCAGCATCTTGAACTTCTTTTTCTGGGTCACCATGATCGCTTCTTCCTCGTATTCCTCTTCTTGTATTGATTGGTTCTCTTTGGCGACTGAAATCAGAAATATATTTTGTAAGATAATCGGACCCTTTCTTAATTTGTTGCCTTCCAAGATAGAGTCAAGGCAGCTGATTTTTGCATTACGGGGTGCTCTATTTTGATTGGGGGCGAGTGATCTGTTATACGAAAGACGATATTCGATAAAGTCTTTAAGAGAACCGAGATTTTACTTGGAGCCATGAATGAGAGAAATAATTTTGGTAATAACTTTTATCAACCTTTGTTAATGTCTTCGCTCGGCCTACGAGCTGCCCTGCTCCCTGTCGCATTGGTAGTTGCAGTCATTGGTCTAGCGGTGGACTGTCTGGAGGTCCGTGGTCCGGTATACGTAGCAGCATGTCTGCTAGTTGTAGCTGTGGTCGAAGGTCTGGACCTGCACACTGCACTGGAAGTCCATGGTCGCATTTCAGGTTGTCCAAAATCACCTGAGAGGTCAAGACATTCATTATTTTTCAAATGAAAATTTCATAGTGCAGCCCTAGAAAATCAATTACTACTTCAGTTCCTTTACTTAAATATGTACGGGATTCTATTTAAATGAAATTACAAATCAACAAGAATTAAAAACAATTCCAGTTCAACACCAGCTGTTGGATCACAAAATTTTTTATTGTGCAGTACTGCTAACCTGTAACAATCATTACTGATGCCCGTCGTTCCAAGCTTTCTTTGTAGCTTGACGAACTGAGGTGAGCATTTCTCTCTTTCTGTTCAGCCCTCAACTTTTTGATGATTTCTTTGTCCCCGGTAGATCTGGCGTGTTGCATCTGAGAGGATTGGATCTTGCGCTGGAACCTGCGGTAGAGCACGTTCTGTTCTGCGTTGATACGGGCACAAACGTACTTTTTCCTCATGTTGAGGTTGTACATCTCTACACTAAACATCGATTTAAGTTAGAAGTAACCGCGTTAATTTTTTCACTTGTTTTTCACCCTTGCGATAAACAAGTGTATTGCAATCGGGTTCAAGACTTTTTTCCCGTAAAGAATTTTGTTCACAGGATGATCTCCAATTTCAAGATCTCCCTTTTCAGTACGTTTAACATCTTGAGTTACTACTGTGTATATGGGTTACTGGATCTTCTGGTAAAAAATCTTAGATGTAAAATTGGTCGTTTCTCTAGGCTTAATTGATTTTGGCCCAATTTTTGTAGGCGTATTTACCGGGTGTGTTTTTTTTCTGGAAAATGTTTTTCAAGTGATTGTTCAATTCAATTCGAAGTACGTAACATGCTCAAAGGATTTTTTTATGCACGTTTTCATCATGCCTAGAGGAAATGGGGGGCTAAGGACTGAATGGGTGAAAAACTTGTTGGCGAAAGACCTGAAACAAAATTAGCCGAAAGTCAATTTTTAAAAAGAATCGATGGTCATTCAATTAAATATTTTGCTTCTTTCAAAAGGAAACACTTGAAATATAAAATTTGTTCCAATTCGGTGGCGGTCAGTGACAATTTGAAAATTTTGCATATTTCTGCCGTTTTTGTATTCGGCCAAAATCAATATTAAGTCCCTGGAAATGTTTCACGCTTTCAGATTTTCACGCTTTCTTTCCAAGTTTTAGATTATTGAAATCTGATCGGCTGATTTCTTTTCGCGCATTCGGTCCCTCGCGTATGAGGGATTCCACCGAAGAAATGCAGTTGCCCTTGAATCCTAAAGTCTCGAATTGAGTGCCGGCTGGACCTGTTTTTTTTTCAGTATATATTAGTTTGAAAGTTTTTTCGGACTCCGTTTGTCTGCTTATGTTTTGTCGACTTAGTTGCCAGATCACGTAATTTGACTTCTCTTGCAGTGTAAGAAAATGAACAAATTGTAATTGAAAGTCTTGTTGATTTACGTATGTAATTTTCATGTTTATAAGCCTTGACTTGGTATTTTTACCTTTTGTTTCTGAAGCGTTTTAGGCCGAATATAGTCCGGCTGAAATTTAATCGGCTTTCTGACCTAATGTTGCGTCGTTTGAAAGTAAACAAACTTCAAACGACGCCTCCTCTAGAAACACAAAAAAGTCTTGAAAATTTAAATCAAAATCAATTTAGTTCTAATTAAATGCGAGCTTTTACCTATGCAATTTTTCTTTAAAATAATACAATCGATTCCTAATTTCAGAGGCATTAAATTTTTGAGATTTTTTAGGAAATAAAATGTTTTTGAGTTTTTGTGTAGTACTCTGAAAAAGTCAAAAGGAGAATCGCAAAAACAAATTGAATTATTTTTCAGGAAACAGATTTTTCGGTCACCCGAAAGCTTTCAGAAAAGGCTGCTTTTTGATCGGCTAAAATTGCGCTTGCGATTTGGGAGAGCAATCAAAGTGGAAAATAGACTTATCAAATAGAAGTGTGGAAGAACGAAGTGATTTTAAGTTAATCAGGTCGTGATGATTTTTTCTGAAATGTCTTAATTTTGCTCACTCTCAAACTTGGTTTTGTTTATTTTAAAATTTACTTCGTTCCCTTTGGTACATGAATACAAACTCCATTATGGAACAGCAAAGGTGTAAAGGCCATGAAAAACCTAATCGGCATTTAGTTTCAGATTGTGGATTTTAGTTTTCAGATTTCCTAGCGGAATAAAAACTTTACTTATTGATCCAGTCTCAAATTGGCTTAATTTTATCAATAATTTGTCATAAATTGTTCTTGGATTTCAAGAATTTTCACGGGCATTTGTTTTTCTTTGAAATTTTGGTACGGTCAAGGTCGTAGGTTTGATTTCGGTCTGGGTGTTTTTCATCGAGCTAAAAATTTTCCGTTTTAAAAAATGGCGGCATATAATTTGTCTGGTTATTTTGTCTTAGTTGCTGAGAATTTTATCGCCTTACTTTACGGAATGTTTTTGTGCCGTAAACTATTTTCATTGCAGTTACATGAATGCAGTTTTAATTTTATATAGCTCCGACTTTGTGTATTTTCATGTTCTTGTTTTTTGCTTAATTCGCCCGAAAGCTTTGTTCGGCCAAAATGGTCCAGCTGATGTTTTTTTTGGTGGCCTAATTTTGTGTCATTTGAAGAAAAAAATTATTTTGTACCCCCTAAAGAAACAAACAAGTGTAAGGGTCGAATTTCATAACTTTATAGCTAAAAGTTTATCGTGACAACAATTTTGTTTTCAGCTAAGCGGTAGTTCACCTTAGTTTTGTCCGCGTAATTACTGCTCGATAAACGTTGAGAAAAAGTTTTTCATGCCGGCGATGGTATTGCTGGTCGTGCTTTCTTCAAATTATATATCATTATGAATTAAATTATGAAACGTTTGGTGTTGTGGTTTTTTGACATTTAAAAAGTTTTCGACTTGTGGCTTTCGCTTCATATGTGTCACGCTAGCGTGCAATGCTATGTTTTTTTGTCTGGCATCAGTCTTTTTGAATTTGATGTCCCAATTTTTTGATGTCGTAAACAAGTAGTTCCAATGCCGCTGAACGTAATTTCAATTAGTCTTCAAAATCGATTCGTTGGTATCAATTCGAAATCGTTAGTGTTTTCAATGCATCGCATAGTCTCAAAGCAAAGCTTTGTGTAGCAATTTCGTTACTGGTATTTTGATAATCTAGAGTATAAAAGTTTTCGAATTATTATCCATTGACCACTTAACAAAAAGTAGCTTTCCCCTACAACTTGAGGATTTTGGAAAGCGTTAGCTTTCATGGCATGTCAGAAACGATATCTTGAAGAGATTAAACAATGACCCATTGGCTTTTTTAGTCTCCCACGCTCGTAAAAACTTACTATAAAGTTGTCTAGAAATTGTTCTTACAAGTATTTACACGTATGAATTGTTGTAGACACTGACATGTTTTATAACAGTTTAGAGCATCAAAAGTCATTAAATAGGATTTCCTACATTGAATTTTAGTTTTAAAAAATCAAGTTTAGGGACTGGGAAATAGCGGACCCATTTTTAATCCCTTACCTCAGTGCCTTGTCCAAGTTGTAGTTGGCGTGAAGAGTCACTGGATTCTGCTCGGAACCCATCTTCAGTCCGAGCTAATAATTTTTTTTTAATTTCAAGTAATTTATCAGTTACGTGCCGTAATTTATCTGACGTGAATGACCAGCTGTGAAACTTGTTTTGTAAAATTTTTATTACTGAGGATTTAACGTTTTTCGTCTGCTAAGTGCTTTGTAATTTGCATTGTAACGTGCTAGTAATGAAAAAAGTAATCGAAATTGGTCTGACAGTAGACCAATTAGTTTGAGACTAAAAGCTACTGCAGTTCATAAACTCGTTCTTGTTAAGAGTGCAGAAACAACAATACAATGAGCTCATCAAAAATTACAATCAAATTTTGCGCTTAGAATGCAACGTGCATATTTTTGGAGACTTTTCTAATTTTTGTTCAAATTGTAAGGCAATTGCTGTTGATGTTTTTAATCAGAATTTTGAAGACGACATCGTTGAAAGATTTGAAGCGTTGTGAACGCACATATACTACGCGTGGTATTTTGATGAGTGACTAACATTTTTATGGTCGAAAAGTAATTTCTCAGTGTGGGGTTGAGTTTGTCCAATATTTCAATGTCGTGTTAATATATAGTTGTTAAATTTTCATCGCTTCAAATGAGCGAAGCTGCTTGATCTCAGTGTTCAATTATAGTCAGGGCTCTATCTCGAAAAAAAAACATAGAAAAACTGACGGTTTCAGATCATGGCATGGCATTAAACAAAAGTTGACGGAATAATATGGAAGAAAGATTTGCAGAACGGAGACGAAAAGAAGCCTTTGCGAAGGAACTGATCTTTAAATGTATAGAGACTGAAACAGTTGACCCGGATGACCTTCTACTAAATATATTGCCCTGGATTTCGCAGCAACATTATGGAGATATAGAAGAAGAAAGGTCAATAGGCGGAGTTTGTGGATATCCCTGCTGTGGAAATGAAGTTGATATCAATGGTACATCAAAAAAAGATACACAGCAGTTCACAATATTCAGCCAAAGTAAAAGGTAGATAGTTACGTCCAAAAATTTTGTGCTAATTTGTTTTTCGGGTTTGCCTCTGGAAAAGCGGCTTGCAGTGTATTTGCAATTTGTGCATTCATAGAGTCGTAAAAATTTTGAACAGATTAATTAATTATAACGGGAAAATTACCTATTTCAGACAATTTTTGCATGCAAAAACTAATTTTCCAGACAAAGTGTGCCTCAAAAATAGCGGAAAATTCAAATTTGCTAAAATAGCTCAAAATTGGCTACTTGCTTTTTAAAATTAATTATGTCTGTTCCAATTTTTCGCCACATATTATAATAACTTGCGAAAAGTGTGAGCAAACAAAATACATTTAAACTAAAACCGAGCTATACGACAATTCTGACCAATTTTGCATGCAAATTTGAACTTTTAGGGGACCTTGAGAAACTCTTTTTCTATTGAAAAATAGCTTTTGCATGCATAAATTGACTGAAATACGTCATTTGCTGTTTTCATTTTTTTGTCTGTTCCAACTCTCTATATATGCAGTGCTGATTTGTTATCCGGACGAAACGATCGAAAATTTAAACTTCGAACGCTGATTTTAAACTTGCGAGAGGAAGTGTCTTTCAATCGGGAACTAGACTTTTTACCCATAAACTACTCTTCTTACACATTTGTAATTGAAGTTGATGTTGCTTTGTTATCGAACCTTAGCAACTTCCAGGCCCCATTGCACTTGGTCTGGGGGTAATGCAGTTGCTTTAGCAACCTATGGTCATCGGTTCGAGTCCCGTCCGGACGTTTTTTTTTCAGTATCTGGAATTGAAATTTCGTTCCTCGGAAAATTGATTTGTCGGTTTTTAGTTTGTCGGCTTAGTTGCAATACGATTTTTTTGCACTATCCATTTCTCATTATAGTTTCAAGTGTCGTTGATTAACTCCTGTAGTTTTTAAAGCTAGTATAACTCACTGGTATATTTTAAGTTTTTTTTTGCCTAGAAGTTTTATTCAGCCTAAATTATTTCGGATCTGGTTCAGTGAACTTTTTTGACATCAATTAAAGCTGATTTTTTAAAATTCATAAATCAGGTCGGTTGGTAGTATAAAAGATAAAAGTTCAATTTTTTTTAATTGCTCAAATTTTTTTCATTTGGCATTTTTGTTTTCGGTTTAATTGGCGTCTAACCACGTGTTGTCGGCTTTCTGAAATAGGTTATTTACTCTTTTTTATTAATTCTGTCTGTTCCAACTTCTTGCAACTCTCTATAAAACCACGTAAAGAAACATTTAAAAAACCAATCAACATAGAACAACCGTTTTTGACATAGTTGCTCACTTTTCCTAACTTTTTTTTGGAAATACGAAACATTCAATCTCAGAAAAAAAAACTCACGATAAACACAGCCAAAAGCTTCTAGTAATGTCCAAGCGTTCACTGTTTTTTTTCTGAGACTGAATGTTTCGTATTTCCAAAGAAAAATTTTAATAAAAAGTGAGCAACCATGTCAGAAACGGTTGTTCTATGTTGATTGGATTTTTTAAATGTTTCTTTACATGGTTTTATAGAGAGTCGCAAGAAGTTGAAACAGACAGAATTAATTAAAAAGAGGAAATGACCTTTTTAAGAAAAATTTTGCATACAAAAGCTCATTTTTCAGACAAGATCACTCAAGGTCACCTAAAAACTCAAATTTGCATGCAAAGGTTGCTCAAAACTTACAGATTGCTCCTTAGTACTTCTGTCTGCTCCAATGTTTTGCTACTTTTTTATATAATGCCAACTAATTGGAAATATCGGTGACCTTGCAGTTTAATCGGTCAAAAACCATTGCACTTTAGGTTAAGTAATTTTTCGGAAATCGTATTCTTGTGCTCAAATCAGTATAAGATGAATTTCGCCGTCAAAATGAGCAATTATAGGTTACTTAACTTCGTTTAGAATCGTTGACCGAAAAGATATTGCCAACAGTTTGGCATTAACTATATAATTATACGAAATTTCACTAAAACTATTTTAGACCGAAATTGGACGCTACTTGAGAGCGCGTTTTTTCTATTTTTCTATTGAGACTTGTAACAAAAAACACTAAAAAGAGCAAAAAATTACCAAATTGAAAAAGAAGCTTTTGTAGCTTATATCAAAGTGAGTTGCACAAAGTTTGCACAGACAAAAAGAATTAGAAAGAGCAAATGACCTATTTCAGAATATTTTTGCATGCTAAAGCTTTGTTCAGAGTATGTCTGTCTCAAAGTCCGCTAAAATCAGCTGTGCACGCTTAAATTGCTTAAAAAGGCCAGATAGCTTTTTTTAGCTAATTTTGTCTTTTCATACATGCTTTTAAAATAACTTGTAAAAAATTGTTTTTTTTTACAGATTAATTGAAAAAAACAATGATTTAAAAAATGGCAATTTTTCAAATTTGAGCAATTTTTGCATGAAACATTGGATTTATAGGTCAGCTTCAGACATACTTCCTTTCTGAAAACTTGACCAAAATAGGGCATTTGCTGTTTATATTTAAATCGGTCTGTTTCAAATTTTGCAACTCTCTATATGAGAGCACATAGAACGCCGTCAAAAAGGCAAGCGAGTGAGCGTCAAAAAAAACTGCGTCTATTTACTTTCAGCATGAAGGTGAGAATTATTGCAAAAATTTATTCAGTGCTGATTTAAATTATGCGGAAAAAAAACGAATATAACTTGAATTTTAAACGCTTTTTTCTCGATTTGGATTAAGAGCAGACAAAAAGTGAAGAGAACAGAAGTTGCTTAGAATTTCATCAGAATTAATATGGTGCAATTTTTTCTCCGGGAGTCTCAGCCAAAATTTTACCCCAAAAATGGGTCAGATTGCCTTTTTTCATTTAATCAAAAATTACGCTGAAACTACTTTATTAATTGATGAGAAATATATATATAGCACAAGAAGCCTCTTACACAGCGTAACAAATTTCTAGAAAGGTCAAATTTCCAAAAATTTGAGTAAACTCTTTAAAATTTGTTTTTAAGCAAAGGTTTTGGGTTTTATATAGTAAAAATCACGTTTTTTGACTATCAAGCAAAAATAGTTTCTCTTTTACAGATTTTTGGAGATTCAACTGTTCAAGAACTTTGTTGGACTGTGCATGAGGCTTCTTGTGATGTATATTTCTGATCAATTAACAAAGTTGTTTCAGCGTAGTTCTTGATTGATTGAAAAAAGCCAAATTGACCCATTTTTGGGGCAAAGTTTTGGTTGAGTATTTCGGAGAAAAAATTGCACCATATTAATTCTGATGAAATTCTAAAAACTTTTGTGTTTTCTTAATGTTAATAAATAGTAAAAGGTTGAAACAGGCAAAAATATAATTAGTAGCAAAAAAATTGGACAGACAGAATTAATTAAAACGAGCAATCAGTTCTTTTCGACGCTTTCTTGCATGCAAAATCTGAAGCCGAACAACCTTGAATTTTTTGTCAGACCAAGTTCAAAATGCGAGATCGTCGATTATCCGATAATTATGCCAGCCTAATTTTTATATACTGCGAAGAACATCCAGATTTTACTATGAAACAGTTCGACGCGTCGGATGCAATTGCCCGCCGTGGTTATAAGTTTTGAGCGAAACTCGGATCTACTTAGCATTCCCCCCCCCCCCCCATTGTATTTACTAAATAATGTTCAAATGCGAGATCGTCGATTATCCAATGATTATGCCAGCTTAATATTTAAATAAGCTGATGAACCTTCAGATTTTATAAAAAAAACAATTAGCAAAATAAGTTGCAAAATCGAAATCTAGAGTTATTTTTAACAACAACAAAAACAGATAAGAACGCCCCCAAAAACTGAATTGAAGTTGATCAAATCGATCAAAATTTGGAAATTAATTGCAAAAAAACATCAGCTACCCTGAGCAACAATTATCCTGTTTCAAGGTTTACTATTCGACGCTTCGGATGCAATTGCCCACTGTTGTTATAGGTTTTGAGCGAAACTCTGCTTTATGAACTTTCGACATTATGTTTATTTCAGTTTTAATTTCCGTTGATTTCCTGTCAGTTGCTCTCTTTAATTAATTCTGTCTGTCCGAGTTTTATGCAACTCTCTTAGTTAAAAAGAGCAATTTGCCATTTTTGAGCAATTTTGACATGCAAATCTGAATTTTTAGGTGCCTTGAGTGATAATTTTTGTCTGAAAAGTTGGTTTTTGTATGCAAAAGTTTTCTCAAATAGGTCATTTGCTCTTTACATTTAATTCTATCTGATCCAACTTTTTGCAACTGTCTAGAATTATAGAGAGTTGCAAAAAGTTTGGACAGACAGAATTAATGAAAAAGAGCAACTGTCTAGACATCAACGGAAACTAAAACTGAAATAAACATAACGTGGAAAGTTCATTAAGCAGAGTTACGGGATCTACTTAACAATCTCCCTTTCAAGAAAGGGGAGGAGATCGTTACCAAGGTTACTTGCAGCAAACTGTCGACCAATCAGAATGCAGCGAAGTCCGAATTTACATACAATGCTCTTGTGCGAAATTACTGTTTTTACTTACAGGGGTGGAGATTCTTTAGTAGATGCAATAGGTTGATTGTTGAGTAGATCCGAGTGTCGCTCAAAACCTATAACCACGGCGGGCAATTGCATCCGAAGCGTCGAAATGTTTTATAGTAAAATCTGGATGCTTATAACAGTAGTTAAAAATTAGGCTAGCATAAGCATCGGATAATCGACTATCTCGCAACTTGATTTTGGTCTGACAAAAAATTCAAGGTTGTTCGGCTTCAGATTTTGCATGTAAAAAGCATTGAAAAGCACTGATTGCTCATTTTAATTAATTCTGTCTGTCCGAACTTTTTGCTACTAATTATAGTAGCAAAAAGTTCGGACAGACAAAAAGAATTGAAAAGAGCAAATGGCCTTTTTCAAACAATTTTTACATTCAAATTTGCATGCAAAAACTGCTGAAAATTGGCAGATTGCTCTTTTTGATTATTTCTGTCTGTTCGAACTTTTTGCAACTCTCTATATAGAGAGTTGCAAAAAGTTCGGACAGACAGAATTAATTAAAAAGAGCAACTGCCTTTTTAACATCAGCGGAAAAAAAAACTGAAATAAACAACGTCGAAAGTTTATAAAGCAGAGTATCGCTCAAAACTTATAACCACGGCGGGCAACTGCATCAGAAGCAGCGAATAGTAAACCTTGAAACAGGAAAATTTTTGCAAAAGTGGCTAAAATTCTAAATTTTGAATGATTTGATCATCTTTTTATTTCCGTTTTTTTTGGAACGGCCTAATCTGTTTTTTTTTGCTCAAAATGCCTCTAGATTTTGATTCTTAAACTAATTTCGCTAACTATTTTTTAGTAAATCTGGATGTTGATTGAAGTATTTAAAAATTAGGCTAGCATAATCATCGGATAATCGACGATCTTGCTTTTCGAATTTGGTCTGACAAAAAATTCAGGGTTGTCCGGCTTCAGATTTTGCATGCAAAAAGCGTCGAAAAGCACTGATTGTTCATTTTAATTATTTTTGTCTGCCCGAACTTCTTGCTACTTATTATAATTAGTAGCAAAAAGTTCGGACAGACAGAATTAATTTAAATGAGCAATCAGTGCTTTTCGATGCTTTTTTACATGCAAAATCTGAAGCCGAACAACCTTGAATTTTTTGTCAGACCTAATTCAAATTGCGAGGTTGTCGATTATCCGATGATTAGGCTAGCCTAATTTTAAAATACTGCTATGAGCATCCAGATTTTACTATAAAACATTTCGAAACTTCGGATGCAATTGCCTGCCGTGGTTATAGGTTTTGAGCGAAACTCGGATCTACTTAACAATTCCCCTTTTGTATCTACTAAAGAATCTCCACCCCTGTAAGTAAAAACAGTAATTTCGCACAAGAGCATTGTATGTAAATTCGTACTTTGCTGCATTCTGATTGGTCGACAGTTTGCTGCAAGTAACCTTAGTAACGATCTCCTCCCCTTTCTTGAAAGGGGGATTGTTAAGTAGATCCCGTAACTCTGTTTTATGAACTTTCCACGTTATGTTTATTTCAGTTTTAGTTTCCGTTGATGTCTAGACAGTTGCTCTTTTTAATTAATTCTGTCTGTCCAAACTTTTTGCAACTCTCTATATATATAATTAGTAGCAAAAAGTTCGGACAGACAGAATTAATTAAAATGAGCAATCAGTGCTTCTCGACGCTTTCTTGCATGCAAAATCTGAAGCCGAACAACCTTGAATTTTTTGTCAGACCAAGTTCAAAATGCGAGATCGTCGATTATCCGATGATTATGCTAGCCTAATTTTTTTATACTGCGAAGAACATACAGATTTTACTATGAAACAGTTCGACGCGTCGGATGCAATTGCCCGCCGTGGTTATAAGTTTTGAGCGAAACTCGGATCTACTTAACAATCCCCCTATTGTATCTACTAAAGAATCTCCACCCCTGTAAGTAAAAACAGTAATTTCGCACAAGAGCATTGTATGTAAATTCGAATTTTGCTGCATTCTGATTGGTCGAAAGTTCGCTGCAAGTAATCTAATTATCAATCCCCCCCCTTTCTTGAAAGTGGGGATTGTTAAGTAGATCCCGAAACTCTGCTTTATGAAATTTCGATGTTATCTTTATTTCAGTTTTAATTTCCGTTCATGTCTAGAGATAGTTGCTCTTTTTAATTAATTCTGTCTGTCCGAACTTTTTGCAACTCTCTATATGCGGTTTAAATGCAATGAAATTAAAATTTCTTAAAAGCTATGCGGTTGAAATGCAATGAAAATTGATTTCAGACGTCAAAATCAGCACTTTTTCTTTAATTTACTTCGCTCAGATGGGCTGATCTAAAAGGATATTGCCAACACTTTCCAATAATTCTCGCCCTGAGACAGTAAATGGCGTTGAAAATGCAACTTAGTCTTCAAAATTGCACTTGAATTGTCGAAAGAGCAAAGCAAACGAATTGCACTTTTACAGAGACGTCAATTGTAACTTCAAGCCCAAGTTCATTCAGCACCGATCTGTCATGCAATTTTCAATGAAACATAACTCACAGTACGCCTTTAGAAAGGCAAACCTCAAACTTCTGCGAAGTTTCCGATTTATTTTTTAGCTTGAAGGTCAGAATTATTTCAAAAATTTGGGGTCCAATAAATTTGTTACAAGGTTGTTATATTCTTGGTTTCGCAGATTGTTTTTTGGTTAATTTGTTATTTAACTGAATTGTAGGGTATACGATCTAACAAACGGACGGAAGTTTTGCAGCGACTGGTGTTTCGCAGCTTCTTCATTCTTAGCCAATCAGATCTCAGCAGCGCCTGTGTGGTCAAAAACAACGGAAGATGGAGTCCCTTTTAGAGAATCAGCGTCTCAAATACAATTATATCCCAAGAGTGCGAAAGGAAAACCAGGTGATGAAATCATTATGAACGAGTTACTTTATGAGATGAGAGAGATGGGTTTGAACGAAGAGCGTTTTCAGAGAACTGGACCATCAAATGAAAAGAATAGCGATGTCAATGAGAGTTCAACATATACTGTGACCGAATACGGCCTTGAAGAGTTGCATGAAGAAGATGGGGAAGTTTTAGTTAAAAACCATGAATCGAGGAAGAAAACTAGAAAGGTTGGATTATTAGGTTTTCAAAGAATTACAGTAATGCTCCAAAAAGTTCTGCAAATATTATTTGTGGCCTTCAAATATCAATTGATTTTTCAATAATTCTGTAGCTCTACAGCCCGTTAACGTATCACAATGAATTGTTTGTCGGCTTAAATATCAATTAGAAACCATGTCTGTTTTTTAAAAAGCAGTTTTTAGGTACAATTTAAGCCAGAAGTGGTCGACCAGAAAGTTGAGACTGAGCTGCATGTAGAGGAAGATGAAGTTGCAGCCAAAATTGAGAGGAGAAGTTTGGGATATTGCAAATTGTGCAATCAGATTATGTCGTGGAAGGCGCCTGCTTCTATCAGTTTGACCACAGGTTAATTATTATTTTCTGATTCAGAATTTTTCTGCTGAAGTTTAAGTTTGTTAACTCTTAAAAATACTGGATGCAATTATTTCTGAAGAGTATATGTTAAGCTGTTTAACTTTTGGCAGGTTCGAAATTCAGAAAATATCATTTTATATACTTCGAAATTGAAAGAGTTCAGAAGATGCAACATAGTCAGATGCAACATATATACTATCTTTCGAAACAACTTTTTAAATTAAAACTTCTTGACGGAATCTAATCGGTTTAAAGATGTACAATCAAGTTCTGGTATTTTAAAAATATTGAAGAGTAGTTTTTATAGGTGGAAATTTCCTGGATCAATGTCTACTGAATGAAGACTTTTGTTTCAAAGTTGCTCAATTTTACTCGAAATCACAAGACGCGGCATTACAGCAACTAATAAATTCATCAGAAAAAAACCCAGGCAATGATCAACATATTGTGTCCATCCCTAATTTGGACAATAAAGATCAGAATAAAGAGAGGCGTGAACTTCTTTTGAAAGGTGTGAACAAAAGTTTCAACGAAGTGAACAGTCGATTCGGTGTGAACAGAAAAATTTGGACCGAAATTGTGAAGTTAGTTAAAACATTCCAATTGACCGCAGAAAATGTATTCGTGGAACCATCTTTGAACCAGGTGTTACTGATTGTTCTGATGAGAATGGTATCAGATTTGAAAACAATTGTTCATGAGACGGATTGGACAGCGTTTGAAATGTTTTGCATATCGGAGTACAAAAAGTACGGTTACAGCGATTTAAATGAGCTTGAGAATTTTGTGCAATGTTTTTGGAAATTAGAATGACGTTTAAAACTTTCTTTAAAAAAATAGATTCTATAATTTATTATGTTTTATAGAGAGCTAGCGATGAGGGATTTTTATTTCAGAAATACGACAAACGAAATTGTTAGCAAGGTTGATCGGACAAAAGTTGATAAAAATGACCAAAAAAATGTACTAGTTTGCTATAACGGGTTAATCTGGTGAATGTTCAACGAGTTTCTTGAGGTTTACGACAGCTTGAAGTTTAGTTAAATCTGTAATATCTCATAAATTTTGACGTCTTCCCCCGAGTGATTGGTGCGTTTTTCAGTTGTTATCAGCTGTTATTATTAGGGTTATCTACGTTTTTTTCTCATGCTTAGTTACGCCGCAGTTAAAATCCCTTTTGTACTGAGTTCAGCGGGACTTCCATGGCTCAATACTACTCACAATGAGGAAAGGGTGAATTTTCTGGCAAGTTACTTTTGGATTATACTGTTTGCCCGTTTTTGTGCCCTGTCGACAGTGTTCTGTCACTGAGGGTCGCAACAATTTCGATGGGTCTAATTGAGTTCAAATAAATATCCAAAAGACTGCTCGTATCAGTGCGAAGCTCTGAATGTTCCGACTGCCGTTTAAGGTCTATTGAATTGTAATAACATAAAACAAATGAAATGTAATAAAAATAAAATGAAAATTTATTTTAAAAATTGAGATTTTTGTGAAAATCATCTACCCGCACGCCATATAAAGTACAAAGTGACAGATTTCTCTCCCATTAACAAATCAAATTGGCAAATGAGCTTCCTTTAACGAATTGGAACAATTTCTAAGACGGATTAAATCTCCGCTTACGCGTTAATAGCGCGAAATACAGCTCGCGTTAATTATCGCAAATTGGCCAAAATGGCAATCTTTAAGCCCCCATAACTTTGTGAAAAAGGATCACAGGTAAAAGATCTTTTCAAGTTAAGCTCAGGACAACAATACTTTTCGAATGATTTTAAAAAATTCCGTCAAAAATGGCTAGTTAAAAAGTCGAAATTTTTCTGAATAAATAATACCCACCCGAGCACAAAAATTCCGTTACTTTCGTTAGGAAAGTCGAAACAAGACTACTCGTATATCAGGGCAAAGCCCTGAATGTTCCGACTGTCCCTTAATTCATCTTGAATATTTTTTGGGAAAAGAAAATATTAAGAATTAATTTGCGCCAAATCAAAGTGTAAAATTTTGAGTGGTACGAAGTTAAAACGACCAATTAGCTAGCCTCGATTCACTTTGAAACGATTTTGTTGTGCGAGATAATTCGCAACGCATACAAACAAGACTGCTCGTATCAGGCCGAAGCCGTGAATGTTCCGACTGCCTTTTAAGGTTTATGGAGCAGTAATAACCTATAAAAAATTAAATAGATAAATAAAAAAAATGAACTTTTTTCTCTAATATTTGAAATTTTATATGAAAATCATCCCCCACACCCCATATAAAGTACAAAAGGATAGATTTCGCTCCTTGTAACAAATAAATTATGGCAAATAAGCTTCTTTCAACCAATTTGGAACGATTTCTAAGACGGATTAAATCTCCGCTTACACGTTAATAGCGCGAAATATATCACTTGTTAATTGTCCCAATTTGGCCAAAATGCCAATCTTTAAACGCCCATAACTCTACGAAAATGATCACAGGTCAAATATCTTTTCAAATTGAAGCTCATGATAACAATATCTTGATGTATATTTCTGATCAATTAACAAAGTTGTTTCAGCGTAGTTCTTGATTGATTGAAAAAAGCCAAATTGACCCATTTTTGGGGCAAAATTTTGGTTGAGTATTTCGGAGAAAAAATTGCACCATATTAATTCTGATGAAATTCTAAAAACTTTTGTGTTTTCTTAATGTTAATAAATAGTAAAAGGTTGAAACAGGCAAAAATATAATTAGTAGCAAAAAAATTGGAAAGACAGAATTAATTAAAACGAGCAATCAGTTCTTTTCGACGCTTTTTTGCATGCAAAATCTGAAGCCTAAACCTTGATTTTTTTGTCAGACCAAATTCAAAATGCGAGATCATCGATTATCCAATGATTATGCCAGCTTAATATTTAAATAAGCTGATGAACATTCAGATTTTATAAAAAAAACAATTAGCAAAATAAGTTGCAAAATCGAAATCTAGAGTTATTTTTAACAACAAAAAAACAGATAAGAACGCCCCCAAAAACTGAATTGAAGTTGATCAAATCGATCAAAATTTGGAAATTAATTGCAAAAAAACATCAGCTACCCTGAGCAACAATTATCCTGTTTCAAGGTTTACTATTCGACGCTTCGGATGCAATTGCCCACTGTTGTTATAGGTTTTGAGCGAAACTCTGCTTTATGAACTTTCGACATTATGTTTATTTCAGTTTTAATTTCCGTTGATGTCCTGTCAGTTGCTCTCTTTAATTAATTCTGTCTGTCCGAGTTTTTTGCAACTCTCTTAGTTAAAAAGAGCAATTTGCCATTTTTGAGCAATTTTTACATGCAAATCTGAATTTTTAGGTGCCTTGAGTGATAATTTTTGTCTGAAAAGTTGGTTTTTGTATGCAAAAGTTTTCTCAAACAGGTCATTTGCTCTTTTCATTTAATTCTATCTGATCCAACTTTTTGCAACTGTCTAGAATTATAGAGAGTTGCAAAAAGTTTGGACAGACAGAATTAATGAAAAAGAGCAACTGTCTAGACATCAACGGAAACTAAAACTGAAATAAACATAACGTGGAAAGTTCATTAAGCAGAGTTACGGGATCTACTTAACAATCTCCCTTTCAAGAAAGGGGAGGAGATCGTTACTAAGGTTACTTGCAGCAAACTGTCGACCAATCAGAATGCAGCAAAGTCCGAATTTACATACAATGCTCTTGTGCGAAATTACTGTTTTTACTTACAGGGGTGGAGATTCTTTAGTAGATGCAATAGGTTGATTGTTGAGTAGATCCGAGTGTCGCTCAAAACCTATAACCACGGCGGGCAATTGCATCCGGAGCGTCGAAATGTTTTATAGTAAAATCTGGATGCTCATAACAGTAGTTAAAAATTAGGTTAGCATAAGCATCGGATAATCGACTATCTCGCAACTTGATTTTGGTCTGACAAAAAATTCAAGGTTGTTCGGCTTCAGATTTTGCATGTAAAAAGCATTGAAAAGCAATGATTGCTCATTTTAATTAATTCTGTCTGTTCGAACTTTTTGCTACTAATTATAGTAGCAAAAAGTTCGGACAGACAAAAAGAATTGAAAAGAGCAAATGGCCTTTTTCAAACAATTTTTACATTCAAATTTGCATGCAAAAACTGCTGAAAATTGGCAGATTGCTCTTTTTGATTATTTCTGTCTGTTCGAACTTTTTGCAATTCTCTATATAGAGAGTTGCAAAAAGTTCGGACAGACAGAATTAATTAAAAAGAGCAACTGCCTTTTTAACATCAGCGGAAAAAAAAACTGAAATAAACAACGTCGAAAGTTTATAAAGCAGAGTATCGCTCAAATTTTATAACCACGGCGGGCAACTGCATCAGAAGCAGCGAATAGTAAACCTTGAAACAGGAAAATTTTTGCAAAAGTGGCTAAAATTCTAAATTTTGAATGATTTGATCATCTTTTTATTTCCGTTTTTTTTGGAACGGCCTAATCTGTTTTTTTTTTGCTCAAAATGCCTCTAGATTTTGATTCTTAACCTAATTTCGCTAACTATTTTTTAGTAAATCTGGATGTTGATTGAAGTATTTAAAATTTAGGCTAGCATAATCATCGGATAATCGACGATCTTGCTTTTCGAATTTGGTCTGACAAAAAATTCAGGGTTGTCCGGCTTCAGATTTTGCATGCAAAAAGCGTCGAAAAGCACTGATTGTTCATTTTAATTATTTTTGTCTGCCCGAACTTCTTGCTACTTATTATAATTAGTAGCAAAAAGTTCGGACAGACAGAATTAATTAAAATGAGCAATCAGTGCTTTTCGATGCTTTTTTACATGCAAAATCTGAAGCCGAACAACCTTGAATTATTTGTCAGACCTAATTCAAATTGCGAGGTTGTCGATTATCCGATGATTAGGCTAGCCTAATTTTAAAATACTGCTATGAGCATCCAGATTTTACTATAAAACATTTCGAAACTTCAGATGCAATTGCCTGCCGTGGTTATAGGTTTTGAGCGAAAATCGGATCTACTTAACAATTCCCCTATTGTATCTACTAAAGAATCTCCACCCCTGTAAGTAAGAACAGTAATTTCGCACAAGAGCATTGTATGTAAATTCGTACTCTGCTGCATTCTGATTGGTCGACAGTTTGCTGCAAGTAACCTTGGTAACGATCTCCTCCCCTTTCTTGAAAGGGGGATTGTTAAGTAGATCCCGTAACTCTGTTTTATGAACTTTCCACGTTATGTTTATTTCAGTTTTAGTTTCCGTTGATGTCTAGACAGTTGCTCTTTTAAATTAATTCTGTCTGTCCAAACTTTTTGCAACTTTCTATATATATAATTAGTAGCAAAAAGTTCGGCCAGACAGAATTAATTAAAATGAGCAATCAGTGCTTCTCGACGCTTTCTTGCATGCAAAATCTGAAGCCGAACAACCTTGAATTTTTTGTCAGACCAAGTTCAAAATGCGAGATCGTCGATTATCCGATAATTATGCTAGCCTAATTTTTATATACTGCGAAGAACATCCAGATTTTACTATGAAACAGTTCGACGCGTCGGATGCAATTGCCCGCCGTGGTTATAAGTTTTGAGCGAAACTCGGATCTACTTAGCATTCCCCCCCCATTGTATTTACTAAATAATATACAACCCTGTAAATATAAATAGTAAAGTCGCACTAGAGCATTGTATGTAAATTCGAATTTTGCTGCATTCTGATTGGTCGAAAGTTCGCTGCAAGTAATCTAATTATCAATCCCCCCCCCCTTTCTTGAAAGTGGGGATTGTTAAGTAGATCCCGAAACTCTGCTTTATGAAATTTCGATGTTATCTTTATTTCAGTTTTAATTTCCGTTCATGTCTAGAGATAGTTGCTCTTTTTAATTAATTCTGTCTGTCCGAACTTTTTGCAACTCTCTATATGCGGTTTAAATGCAATGAAATTAAAATTTATTAAAAGCTATGCGGTTGAAATGCAATGAAAATTGATTTCAGACGTCAAAATCAGCACTTTTTCTTTAATTTACTTCGCTCAGATGGGCTGATCTAAAAGGATATTGCCAACACTTTCCAATAATTCTGGCCCTGAGACAGTAAATGGCGTTGAAAATGCAACTTAGTCTTCAAAATTGCACTTGAATTGTCGAAAGAGCAAAGCAAACGAATTGCACTTTTACAGAGACGTCAATTGTAACTTCAAGCCCAATTTGTAAAGAAGTTCATTCAGCACCGATCTGTCATGCAATTTTCAATGAAACATAACTCACAGTACGCCTTTAGAAAGGCAAACCTCAAACTTCTGCGAAGTTTTCGATTTATTTTTTAGCTTGAAGGTCAGAATTATTTCAAAAATTTGGGGTCCAATAAATTTGTTACAAGGTTGTTATATTCTTGGTTTCGCAGATTGTTTTTTGGTTAATTTGTTATTTAACTGAATTGTAGGGTATACGATCTAACAAACCGACGGAAGTTTTGCAGCGACTGGTGTTTCGCAGCTTCTTCATTCTTAGCCAATCAGATCTCAGCAGCGCCTGTGTGGTCAAAAACAACGGAAGATGGAGTCCCTTTTAGAGAATCAACGTCTCAAATACAATTATATCCCAAGAGTGCGAAAGGAAAACCAGGTGATGAAATCATTATGAACGAGTTACTTTATGAGATGAGAGAGATGGGTTTGAACGAAGAGCGTTTTCAGAGAACTGGACCATCAAATGAAAAGAATAGCGATGTCAATGAGAGTTCAACATATACTGTGACCGAATACGGCCTTGAAGAGTTGCATGAAGAAGATGGGGAAGTTTTAGTTAAAAACCAGGAATCGAGGAAGAAAACTAGAAAGGTTGGATTATTAGGTTTTGAAAGAATTACAGTAATGCTCCAAAAAGTTCTGCAAATATTATTTGTGGCCTTCAAATATCAATTGATTTTTCAATAATTCTGTAGCTCTACAGCCCGTTAACGTATCACAATGAATTGTGTTTGTCGGCTTAAATATCAATTAGAAACCATGTCTGTTTTTTAAAAAGCAGTTTTTAGGTACAATTTAAGCCAGAACTGGTCGACCAGAAAGTTGAGACTGAGCTGCATGTAGAGGAAGATGAAGTTGAAGCCAAAATTGAGAGGAGAAGTTTGGGATATTGCAAATTGTGCAATCAGATTTTGTCGTGGAAGGCGCCTGCTTCTATCAGTTTGACCACAGGTTAATTATATTAAATACTTCGAAATTGAAAGAGTTCAGAAGATGCAACATTTATACTATCTTTCGAAACAACTTTTTGAATTAAAACTTCTTCACGGAATCTAATCGATTTAAAGATGTAAAATCAAGTTCTGATATTTCAATAATATTGAAGAGTATTTTTTTTACAGGTGGAAATTTGGATCAATGTCTACAGAGTGAAGACGTTTGTTTCAAAGTTGCTCAATTTTACTCGAAATCACAAGACATGGCATTACAGCAACTAATAAATTCATCAGAAAATAATCCAGGCAATGATCATCATATTGTCTCCATCCCTAATTTGGACAATAAAGATCAGAATAAAGAGAGGCGTGAACTTCTTTTGAAAGGTGTGAACAAAAGTTTCAACGAAGTGAACAGTCGATTCGGTGTGAACAGAAAAATTTGGACCGAAATTGTGAAGTTAGTTAAAACATTCCAATTGACCGCAGAAAATGTATTCGTGGAACCATCTTTGAACCAGGTGTCACTGATTGTTCTGATGAGAATGGTATCAGATTTGAAAGCAATTGTTCATGAGAAGGATTGGACAGCGTTTGAAATGTTTTGCATATCGGAGTACAAAAAGTATGGTTACAGCGATTTAAATGAGCTTGAGAATTTTGTGCAATGTTTTTGGAAAATAGAATGATTAGGTTAATTGCTGTTTATAAAAGTAATTCACGTTTAAAACTTTCTTTAAAAAAATAGATTTATAATTAATTATGTTTTATAGAGAGCTAGCGACGATTGATTTTTTATTTCAGAAATACGACAAACGAAATTGTTAGCAAGGTTGGTCGGACAAAAGTTGATAAAAGTGACCAAAAAAATTGTACTAGTTTGCTATAACGGGTTAATCTGGTGAATGTTCAACGAGTTTCTTGAGGTTTACGACAGCTTGAAGTTTAGTTTAATCTGTAATATCTCATAAATTTTGACGTCTTCCCCCGAGTGATTGGTGCGTTTTTAAGTTGTTAACAGCTGTTATTATTAGGGTTATCTACGTTTTTTCTCATGCTTAGTTACGCCGCAGATAAAATCCCTTTTGTACTGAGTTCAGCGGGACTTCCTTGGCTCAATACTACTCCCAATGAGGAAAGGGTGAATTTTCTGGCAAGTTACTTTTGGATTATACTGTTTGCCCGCTTTTGTGCCCTGTCGACAGTGTTCTGTCACTGACGGTCGCAACAATTTCGATGGGGCTAATTGAGTTCAAATAAATATCCAACAGACTGCTCGTATCAGGGCGAAGCTCTGAATTTTCCGACTGCCGTTTAAGGTCTATTGAATAGTAATAACATGAAACAAATAAAATGTAATAAAAATAAAATGAAAATTTATTTTGAAAATTGAGATTTTTGTGAAAATCATCTACCCGCACGCCATATAAAGTACAAAGTGACAGATTTCTCTCACATTAACAAATCAAATTGGCAAATGAGCTTCCTTTAACCAATTGGAACAATTTCTAAGACGGATTAAATCTCCGCTTACGCGTTAATAGCGCGAAATACAGCTCGCGTTAATTATCCCAAAATGGCAATCTTTAAGCCCCCATAACTTTGTGAAAATTGATCACAGGTAAAAGATCTTTTCAAGTTAAGCTCAAGACAACAATACTTTTCGAATGCTTGAAAAAAAATTTTGTCAAAAACGGCTAGTTAAAAAGTCGAAATTTGTCTGAATAAATAATACCCACCCGAGCACAAAAATTCCGTTACTTTCGTTAGGAAAGTCGAAACAAGACTGCTCGTATATCAGGGCAAAGCCCTGAATGTTCCGACTGTCCCTTAACTCATATTGAAAATTTTTTGGGAAAAGAAAATACTAAGATTTAATTTGGGCCAAATCAAAGTGTAAAATTTTGAGTCGTACGAAGTTAAAACGACCAATTAGCTAGCCTCGATTCACTTTGAAACGATTTTGTTGTGCGAGATAATTCGCAACGCATACAAACAAGACTGCTCGTATCAGGCCGAAGCCGTCAATGTTCCGACTGCCTTTTGAGGTTTATGGAGCAGTAATAACCTAAAAAAAATTAAATAGATAAATAAAAAAAATGGAAATTTTTTCTCTCTAATATTAGAATTTTTTTATGAAAATGATCCCCCCACACGCCATATAAAGTACAAAAGGATAGTTTTCGCTCCTTGTAACAAATAAATTTTGGCAAATAGGCTTCTTTCAACCAATTTGGAACGATTTCTAAGACGGATTAAATCTCCGCTTACACGTTAATAGCGCGAAATATATCACTTGTTAATTGTCCTAGTTTGGCTAAAATGCCAATCTTTAAATGCCCATAACTCTACGAAAAAGGATCAAAGGTCAAATATCTTTTCAAATTCAAGCTCATGATAACAATACCTTTTGAATGGTATAAAAAAACTCCGTCATAAATAGCTAGTTAAAAAGTCGAAATTTGTCTGAAGAAAAAAAACCACCCCAGCATAAATGTTCCTTTACTTTCGTTTCGAAAGTCCGAACAATAATTCGCGTTACCTTCTCAGCAATATGAATAAATTCTTCAAAGCGCGCATAATTTAGTCCAGAACATGGTCAGTTTGGCAATTTTCAAACCCCCAGAACTTTACAAAAAAATAATCGGAGGTAAAATATTTTTTAAGTTTGAATTAAGGAATTCGATATCTTCAATGGGGTATAAACATTTTTTGTCAAAAACTTTTATTTCGATCGACGAAAATTGACCGAATAAAAAAACCACACTGAGTATAAATATTCCGTTTTCTTCGAAAGTAGGAACAACAATTGCGGAAGGGTCTATAGCGTGGCCAGAATGAAATTCATGATTTAGATCAAGTATAGGGGTGCGCGATTAATTTATGCATTGCCTCTGCAATGTAAATTTGACATACTATTTTCACTAATGAAGTTATCCTTGGGACTTTTTCTTTCTTCTAGTGAAATTAATGTTATAAGCCACACAATCAAGCTATGTTTGACTCAATGCTTGTTCAGCTTCACTCTAATTCAATCCACTAACTCAAAGCTATAATCAAGAGACGGTTTTTTCATCTTCTAATCATTCATATATGGATAAATTTCCTCAAAAATCAGTCTGGTGATCCTATCCCGTTCCGAATGGTTAATGCTTGGGATTATGCTATCTTCCCTTGTTAACTTAGTACTTTAATAATTTTGGGGCTTAAACGGCCATAGGTCAATTATGGGTCACATGAAGTCATTGTCCAGGAGGATGGCTAAGGGTTCCGAGGGGATGCTGACCATAATTTTAATCCATTTCAGATTAACACTTCCCGCTTTATCCCTTTCTTAAGGTCAATAATCACTTTTTCCGATAATCAAATGGCTTTAAAAACCGGAAGGAGTCGCCGCATTGGTTTTGTCCACAAGGGCTCTTTTTTCGATTGTTTCTACTATCAATTGCCACTGTATAATTGATTGATTTTCCCCCGCTCAATATTTTGCGTAAAATGCCTATGCTCGATCCAGGTATTTGTTTTCGCTAGCTTCCTGCCTAAGCGTCGAATTGGTCTCAAATGGTTATCCATAGTGTATCTTGCCACTATCTATCATATCCTAAAGTTTTGGCTCCCTAGGTTTTTTAGGGTCGAAAATTATTTTCAGGAGTTTGAGGGTGGGAAATTTTTTTTGCCCATAAAACCGGAAAAAGGGGTCTGGTGTTCTAAACTTAGCCTCCCTCAACTTGGATTGCAGCAGACTAAATTTTGGTCGCATTTCAACCGCTAGTTACTGAATTCTAATAGGGCGATTTGCGCTTTCGGGAACTGTTATCACTGGGCTTGAGGATCCCCAGGACCTGTATCGGTTCTGTGAATTTCATAAATTTCGCATTCTTAGTTCAAGTTTGGGGGTCGTCTGCCGTTTTTTCTTCTTTTTAGGTTTCTGCCATTGGTAGGAGGAGTTATTCTTTTCAGATTTGAACGATTTTGATCTTGGCTGTTTGTTTATTTTTCTACTTATCATATTGACTAATCAATGCTAATAGTACGCACCAACCATTAGCCCTTTCATATTACGCATAATTCGACCGCCTTCAATCATGGAGTCTATTTGTCTATTGTCGACTATCATGAGACTGAGTCTGACGGGAGGGAGGTTCTCCAATTTTGAATAGGGTCCAAAAAGCAACGTTCCTCCGTAAGGCTCAGTTACATTCCGTCTCCCTGCAAATTTTACGGGGCAGTTGTTCTGTATGATGGTAACATTGCCCCTCCTGCAAAATGCTGAGCCAACTCAGCCCATTCGAGGCGGCCCTCGGTGGAGATGTTGGCTTGCATGTGCGACTGACTAGTGGAAGTAATATCGGTGTTGGAAATCATTTTCCAGTTGTATTGAACGAATATAGAACGTGGTTGCTGATTGAGCAACGGGGACGCAATTTGATGAAGGACCGTAACTTTTTTTGCTTATTATTGTATAGGCATTTTATACTGTGTTGTGTTTTTACTCTAAACATTCCTTGCTTGTTGTAATTAGACGTAATTAATCTTTTGTTTTGCCAATAACCTTAGCAGTAGTTCGGCTATAATCAGTAACTGAGACTAATTCTTTTAAGATTTGAACGATACAAACAACCAATTCTACATCATTTCGTCCAAAATAAAATAACCCGTAACCGTTTGGATCATCTCTTAAATTCAGAAACTAAAAAGTCTCTTGATTTTTTCTGACCCTGTGCGTCAGTTTGTAATATTGTGACAATTTTCAGAGTCAGTGAAGAATAAACAATTATAAATGTCGTCGCAATCAACCAGCAGTTCTTCAGCTGGAGGTTCTTCTGCAGCTAGTAAACTCACAGATACGAGAGCAGAACTAGTGGAACTACTTCGGAGGAAGCAGGAGTTGGCGGACAATCTGGCCTCTTTAGAGAGACAGATCTACGCGTTTGAGGGCAGCTACTTAGAAGACACTCATTTGTATGGGAACATCATCAGAGGCTGGGACAGATATCTGTCTCACAAAAGTGCAAATAGCAACAAACCAGAGAAGAAGCTAAAGAAGTTCAAGGTATGTGTCGACGACGTCGCCACAATTGGCAACGGCTGTTTTTCTTTTCCTCCAGCAGCTCTGATTATCATAAAAAATGCGATATGAGCTAATTGGGGCCCTTATAGGCTACAAAGGAAAAAGATCCCAAAAACAAGTGTAAACTAGGAACAGCTGTTGTGCCAAAGGCTGAGAACTAATTTTTTTTTCTAGAACAACTAAGGCGCATAAAACTTGGTGGTCCCGAATCTGAATTTCTGGAATTGTTAATTTTTAAATTAAATTAAATGATAGTTCGAGCCTGTGATGTTTACCGAATCGTTTTTTATTCAGGAGTCGGAACGTCTCTTCTCGAAAAGCAGTGTTACTTCAGCTGCGGCCGTTGAAAAACAACCCCCTCAGCCAACCGGTCCACCCCACCCTAACCAACACAACAACAGCAACTCAGCCTCATCTTCAGCATCTGCATCAGCCCCTCCCCCTTTGTCGTCAGCTACCTCGCCTCCAACTGCCCCACCTAAGAGTAGAACGTCTGGGGGAGGGGGTGGCGATGCGACGAGTCCGAGGAATATCACAAATGCACAGAGTAATAACGGGAACAGTAGTGGCGGCACTCCTGCAATGCAATCGGGAGGTGTGGCCAAGAAAAAGAGGAAAGTTCACCCGCAAAAATGAACATCGATAGAAGTAACGAGACCGTTCCGAAACTTCCAAAAAAGCTATTAACACGTTCCGAAGTTTGCAATATGATTTATTCGAATCTTGGAGACAATAGAATCCCGGTTGTTGAATGAACTGTTCTACTCAAAGTGTAATTCTGCAGTAGCTCACTCAAGTTGATCGTAATTGTAAATTTTAGCTGAATTTTTTCCTTTCATGAATTTACTTTTTGTTTTGGTGGCGGTTTCTCTCATAATAGCACAGAGTCATATCTTATCATTATCATAGTTAGATCATAAGCCAATGTTTGTTTGGTACAGTGTAAGTACCAAGATTGTAAGGCAACTGCAAAGACCTCAACTGCAATTCTTGCTCAGCACTCTGATCAAGGTAGGTGGTAAATTTTACCGAAAGTTATCCATAAGAGAGGCTCTTTTGGAACTGCTTATCATATTTGAAACGCTATCTCTAATATTTAAAAATGTCGTTCCAAAAATTCTCATGGTTTGTTAGATTTTCCTTTCTGAAACGTTTTATTACATTGCATTTTTTTGCAACACATCGCCGAAATAATGCATTTGATAATTTTTCTGCAAACAGTTGATACACTTGCAACCGTGTACTTGGTTTTTTCCCATGAATAGTTTTTATTGGCTTTTTTCCACTTTCCCCCGCATGTTGAATTTCAATTTTGAAAAACTAATTTTACGTAGTCATAATGTGGAAATTTTGCATGGTGAACAAACTATCTTTTTTGAACATATTTGTTCTTCATATCTTAAATCATAACATCACGCATTCAGTCATAATACCACGTAAGACAATTGAAAAAAAGAAAACTCGAAATATGGCGAGAAAGTGGAAAAGAGCAATTTTTTTTCGCAGGATGACTTGAACTGGTGGTCAGCTCCAAATCTGTACTTTCGTCAACGAACAGACAAGTTTGGAGAATATCTGCATTATAATTCCCGTTCTATGTACACTTGCGATCAGCTTAGTGTATTATTACGAATCTTCTTTTTTTTCTAAACTAACTCGCAAATGAAAGTGTTCATTAAAAGTTCACTTATTTGGAAATTTCACTGTAGCATCGGAAATTGCATAGCATCTGTTCTCTGCTTTATTCGTGGCTAGTGTTTGGTTCCTAGTAAGTTTCGTGGCTGAGTGTAAGTGCGTGAGACTCTTAATCTCTAGGTCGCAGGTGCGAATCTCAGAGGTAGCCGATTTTTTTGGCTCTTTTTCCTTACCCCCCCCCCCCACCTCGCAGAAGCATCGATTTTATGGTGTAACGAGTAGCTTTACCACGTTGAGTATGAAGAGCAAATATGTTTGTCATAGCCCACTTAGTCGGTATGCCAAATTTTATAACAATACGACAACGTGAACAGAAAAATTACTCTAAAAAATTTGGTCCAATTAGTAAAAATGGAAAAAGAGCCCATTTTTTTTTTACTAATTCGAGAGCAGCTTTTTGTCGTGTTCTTGCAAGTGTTTTCAAAGCGGAGCTTCGCCTCTGTGTTGAGATTTGCTTTTTATGTTGGTGATAGTTTGACCAACTCGATTTGTTAAGATTTTATTTGTTTCAGTTTTACTTTTTCGACTTATCGGGCTTCTGCCTGTATTGTTTAGGCTAATTGGCCTCATTTTGCTTCGTTTGATGAGCAACAGCTATTAATTTCTTTTTAGTTTTTATAGTTATTTTTCGTAATGTCTGAGATTTTTGTTGCAGTTATCACTGTTGGCAGAACACCCGGTGCACTGGCAGACTTAATATTTTCGGGATATGAAATTTGATTTTCAGAGTTATTATTTTATCTGTCTCGTTAAGGTTGGATTGATTGCTTTCCCTATAATTCTAATATAATTCAAGTGAGCTACTTTTTCACTTAAAACTAATAAGCATTTTCTATAAATTCCACTTTTGGAGAAATTTTGATTAAATGGGCTATCAAACCGCTTTAGGTTATAGGGTTCGAGTATTACTCGTTTCGGTCGCATAGAAACGAGAATTTTCCTAGCTGAATTATATAACGTTTGCGGCTACCCTTCATCATCATATAGAGGCAGTTTCTTCATAAACGTGATTGCATTTAGGAGTTCCGTTTCATTTCACAAGAGAGAGCAAGTGACTTGTAATCGGGATATATAGTTTTTTCCCGCTATTAACTTCTACAAATTCTACTGACATGCACAGTTCTGCTGATTTGCTCAATTTCTTGAAAATTTAAATAAAACTTTGTTCTTTTCAGCTAAATCTTTAATTTTTCAATTGAATGTGTTTTTGGGATTTGTAGTTTTTGTCCTAATTTCTGTCGGCTGATTTTCTGTTTTTTTTCGAATGAAATTTTCGATTATCTGGTGCGCTTTCAAGCATTTTTTCTCCAAAGCTTGTGTATTTAATGTAAAATTCAAACAGTTCCTGTTTGATGCAAACAGGTATTATGAAACTGTACGGGATTTGGTTTTTTCATTTTTTGAGACGCTTTGGATTTTTTTCTCAAATTACCTTGCTGATTTTCAAAAAGTGGTTCTACAGGAAAGACTGACCACTCTCCTGTCTGCTTGCATCTTCCTACCTTACCCTACTTTCTGCAGCCTCAAAAATGTGGAGGAAATCTGAGATTTTAGGTTCAATCGAGAGCACGTGTTTTTGGAAGCCCTGCATAAGCGGCTACGCTCAAATTGTCTTACTCTTAAATTTCTAGCCCTCACAAAAGTAAAATGTTTGTTTTTTACCAATTTTTGAAGCGTTTTGATTTATCAATGGTTCAATGTATAGAACTGGTTGTGAGAAACTCCTCTGCATAAACGGCTACGCGCAGTTTTTTCTTACTTTAAAATTTTCCTGTGAAAGTAAAAACTAACTTTTTATTTTTTTTTACTATTGTTTTGAAATGTTTTGACTTGTCTCAAAAACTACTCCCATAAATCAAGGGTTAAAGAACCGGTCTTTCTGAATTGCTCTGCTTGAACTGCTACATCCACATTTGTTTGCACAAAAAGTTATGGCCCTCGTAAAAGTCACGATTTTGATTTTTTGAACGTTTGTTAAAAACGACCCTCCCAAACCTCAGATTTCGATTTCAATCGGAAAAACGGGATGTATGAACCTCTCGGGCGTAATTAGATACCCATAATTTTTTTCGGAAAAAAATGGCCATCGGAAAAATTTTTCTGACCATACCCTGCCAATTCTTAGATTAATGGTTCAATCGGAAAAAAACAGGTTGTGAGCTTCTTTGCTGCATAAAATTGCACCACAATTTTTTAGCGAAAAATAATGATACTCAAAAAAGTTAAAATTGATTATTTTTGTGACCGTTTTTGAATTTTTTAAACTTTTCTTAGAAAACTACCCCGAGGAATCTGAGAGTTAGAGTTCAGTCGGAAAAAAACAGGTTATTGGAACCTTCCCGGTATAATTGGTTCGCAGTCACGGGATCGATCAGAAAAACATGTTGAGAGAAAGTCCACTAGGCTGCCCAATTTCATGTTGAGTTCATATATAAGAACTGGTAATGGGTATCGTCCCTAAAATAGCGGCTAATCACTTATTTCAGTAGAAACAACAAGGGTTTTCGGTTTTTGAAATTTCGCATTTCATCCTCCATCAATAGAACATTTTATAGTAGTATGACCATTTTTTTTAACTATAATTTGTAATTTACCTACTCCGTTTTAAATAATTTTATTTGTTCATTTTTAGTTAAAGGGGCTTAGTAACGTTTTATTGGCTTAGTCAACTTATGTTACGATACTTGAAAATTCTGATTTTAAACCTTTTATGGCTTGAAATTTTTTACCACTACAGTTTCGTTTTCGGCTGAATGAGGGAATCAAGTTATTTGACTTAGTTGACGCTCGTTTATTGATCTTCTTGTTTGTTCATGCTGTTTTAGAACTTCATCCGTTTTTGTCTGAAAGTTCTTATTTGTTAATGCTGTTTTTGAACATCAATTACAGACCATCAGAATTTGCAGAAATTATAATATAAATTGACAAAGCCAATAAAATGTAAACTAAATCCTTTTAACCACAAATAAACAAATAAAATTAGAAAAAGTCACAGAATTGGTGAAATACAAATGGTCTGAAATTACTTAATATAGCGTTGTGGGGTTTGTTCAAAAAATGAAAAAGATTGCAACTTCGCTTCTATATTCAGGCTTTATAGTTAAAGGAGTCAAAACAATGGCCTAGAGTTTTTTTGACGCGAACTATAGTTAATCTTTGAAAAAATTGTCAACAATTTTTTGTAGATTTTTTTCTAGGTCAGCTTTTTTGGTTGTTCGATTCCCCCAACATTTGACAGACTTTACTTTGCCTAATGTTTCTGCGACAAGAATATTCTCTGAAAAAAAATGCCCGAAAGGTCTTTTCGGGTTGAAATTCAGCTAAGCATTTTCACAATTGGATTTTGTAAACAATTTTTTTCTTAAGTTTTTTGTGTTCCCGCCCTCTCAATTTTGGTATGAATTTTTTTGAGCTGTTATGATGCTTTCCAATTTCCAGGAAAATGGTTTGTCGGTTCATCCGTTCTTAATCTTTTTGCATCGCTAGCCAAAATTTCGCTTCATCTCGTTAGTAAATAAATGAGTTGTATTCTGACGACTCACTGGGTTATGGTTTTTTTTCAGTTGAGTTGTGGATTTTTGGGTTATGGAAGTTTTCAGTCTTTCAAAGATTACTGGCAAGGCATCACGTGTAGCATCATAGTAAAGTTTTTTGAAACTTGAAACAAAGCTGATAGCTTTGAACTCTTTCTGTTCAAAGCGCCATTTCACAAGTTATGTTTATTATGTATTAAGTTGGAAACCGGTCTTGATGGTTGCTTACAAAGAACATGATCTTTACTAGCGTATACAAATATCAGCAAGCGTAGATAACAAACTGTGAAATTTCCTAGTTCAGCAATCGAATGTCAATAGTTATAACTGTGATTTACAAAAAGTTGGTTCTTCTGTGCCTAGAAAAGCTCCTTGTCGCCAAAAAACGTTTTTCTGGCTAATTTACCATCAGAGTCGATGCAAGATTCATTCCTAGCCTAATTTTTTACAAGATCTTTGATTTTATTTAAGCTATATTCATCTCTTTTTTTTTCAAAACAATGCTGCTACCCCAGAATTTTTTAAAAAAAACTATCAAGTTTTTGAAGTAAATCCAAATATTTTTTGTACTTGCTAGTTGGTACTGTCATTCGCACATTTACATCTGGCAAATAACTGCTCTATCTCGTCTAATTGTTACTCATTATTACTAATTTTTTACTCTGTCTCGTCTAATTGTTACTAAAAGACCTCGTCGGCCATGTAAAAATAACAAATACTCTTGAAACATCATCCATCTCATCTATTGTACGGCTTCAGATTTGTCATGAGTGATTCACAGGCAGTAAGATGGGGCTTCTGTTGCGCTGGCAAAATAGCCAACGACTTTTCAATCGCCATGGACAAAGTCACCTCAGAGAGTGAAGGTATGGATATGGTTTTGATTGATCAGACCACTGAAAGTGGTTAAGAACCCTGAGCTACACCGGCGGATCTAAGATTTTCTCTTTCTCGAAGGATAAAATCGAATCCCCCCACAACACCCCCCCCCCCCCCTAAATCCGCACCAGCTCAGCTACATTTAAGTATTTTCTTTTCTCCAAAAATTAGGTACCACAACTGAACTTTCAATTACATCGAGTGGGGTATAATTTCAAGGATCCTTCATTCGTCTGCAGAGCTGCTTTTTCCCCCATTGTCGAGAAAAAAAGTATTTAATCACAGAAACGCGAATAATTTAAGACGAGATCACAGTTTTTTTAGTCAAGTAGCATAATTTGTGCTCAACATTTGTGTTCAATTTCTGTTATCTTTCTTTTGCAAAAAATTGTGCAACAAAAACTGTAGTGAAAGTGTAATTAATAGCAAGAGACGATTTTAAGCACCTTCTAGCGCTTTCCCCGTAAATAAATCTGGAAAAAAATGTTTTCGTTTAATGATTCATATTGCACGTAACTTTAGTCAATAGGAGCTAGTGATAGTTTTCTAAGCATAGTTTTAGTCCTTTTCTCTGCGTGGATAAAAAAAATAAGTCTAACTCCCAAAAAAAATTATTTGTTTCTTATTTTGAATTTTCAACTCACAGAATTTTCAATCAATTGTTGGTCACTTTAGTTATTATCGTTTTATGGCTTTGTGATGATCGCTGACTTTCAAGCAAAATTGAGGCATGATTTGTATTTATCCATTATGCGAAGTTTTTTTAAAATGCTGTAAAATTATTGTTGGTTGTTGATTAATTTTCTTGCATTTTGTTTAATAGCCTTCGCTTTTTCTTTTTTCTTTTGAATGTAATGATTTTATGCATTGCTCACATTTTTCGGATTTGAAAATATGTTGTTGAAGACGTAGCAATTATTTTCTGCTTAATTTATGGAAAATAAACAGAAATTAGTACAATTGTTGTTCTTCTAATCGTTATTGTTCTCTGGCCACGTTGCGAAGTGACTGGCGAAAACTTAGGCTCGATTTTTTTTGGCCGATTTTGAGTGCTTCAGTCGGAGGTCGACTGGGGTATCACATTAAAGCTTTTTCAGCTTTATCTCGCATTTAAATATTCATAAATTAAAAGTTTTCGCAATGTGAAGAAAATTTGGTCTGAAATTGTTTTTTTTTTTACCGAAAGGTATTTTTTAAACCAAATTCAGTTGTCTTAAAAATACAGGAAATTTAGATAAAATGATAAAGAAATTGAGAAGGCTTTCGACTGTTTTTTCTTTTCAAATTTCGTGTGATGGATAAGAAATTTAGACTTAATTTTCTCAAGTTATTTACTTATTTTTACTTAATTTTCCCAAGTGATGTAAAGCATTTTCTGTGTTTGATTTTAGGAACTCACAGGAAAGTGGCAGTGGCTGCTAGAGATAAAACTAAGGCAGAAGAGTTTGCGAAGAGACATGGGTTCGAGAGAGCGTATGGGAGCTACGCCGAACTGGCTCAGGATGCGGAAGTAAGAGTATATCTTTCCCAATGAAGCTTCACGCAGTGGTGAAAATTTATAGCCATTAAACTGTGATTTAGATATTTCATCAGAAAAATGATTCGCTCGAAAAATGAGAAACATAACAGCAGTCCGTGGAGTAAGATACCACGGAAAAGTGCCATTAGTTTTGAAGTAGATGCAATGTTTTGCTAATGGAAGTTCTTGCCTGGAAGTTTCAACCTTGAACTCAAGTAATAGGCACGGTTCATTGAATTTTGCAGTTTATAACAGTTTAGTTGACAAAAGTCAAATGTTTATCATCTGCATAAGAGAATAAATCAAGTTTTTCTGGTATGCTGAAATTTTTTGTTTGTTTGAAGGTAGAGATTGTGTACGTGTCTTCTCTACACCCTCAACACTTCGAACTGTGCAAACTATATTTGGAGGCGAATAAAAATGTGCTGTGTGAGAAGCCACTGACAATGAAGTTGTCTCACACTGAGGAGTTGGTTCGACTAGCCAGAGAGAAGGGACTGTTCTTCATGGAGGGTTTCTGGTCCAGATTCTTCCCCGTGTACCAGAGTGTGAAGAAACACGTGTCCAATGGAGATATAGGTTAGACAAATCATAGATACTCGTTAATAAATTTTTGAGTTGTGTTACTCACAATTATTCAGGAAGAAAAGGACCAATACAAAGTCATGTCGAAAATATGCGCGCGTTTTTTTTGTAAATTATGCAAAGTTTTCTGAAAACCAACGAAGATATTTGGAAAAGAATTGTCTCAGTGTCGAGAAAAACAGGTGCCGGCGAATTTTTTGCTTTCAAGACTTATTTAAAGATTCACTATTTTACGTATCAAAGCTTACTGATCTCATTGTAACGTTGTTCGCCAAATTAATCTAATTCAGAATTTACAAAAAAAATCTACGCGTCAAAATAATGTTCAACCTTGAATTGGATTCCAGAACAAAACTTTGAAAATTTTCTCAATTTCGGGGAAATGTTTCCTTAAGTTTTATTATCTAAGTCTGTAAACAGCGAGATTTATGATCGGTTAATGATTGTAAATAAACCAGCGTAAGTACAAAACTACCGAAAGTGCGCGGTGTTTATAAGCCGAAAATTTACATCATATGGATAGAATTTGCATATTTTTCGTAACTGTTACATAATTGTTACATAACTATTATATAACATTTTACGTATTTTTGGCTGGCTTATATACCTCCCGGTTAATAGTTCATTAGCAGTTCCCGTTAGTCAAATAAAAAATCTCATAAATTAACTGATTTGAGTGGTACTTTAACTATTCTCAACGTGTTCAGGAACTGTGAATCAGGTGCATGCACACTTCCACGTGCCCACTCCAACGGAGAGGATGGTTAAAGAGCACCTGGGAGGCAGTGCCTGGTTCGACATCGGAGTATACTGTTTGAATCTAGTCGACTTCCTCTACGAAGAATTTCCCAATGAGATCCAATCAGTGTCTAGTCGCTTATCGGAGACTGTAGATAAAGGTGCGTGTTATATCATTGCAGTTGATTACACTTGCGAAAAAAGTGTCTTGTAATCAAGAACTAGACTTTTTTCCCGGAAAATAACTTTTACAAATTTTCAACTTGCTTTACTATTGAATCTTAACAACTTCAAGGTTCCTTCGCACTTGTACTAGAGGTAGCACCCTCGCCTTAGCATCCTATGTTCAGTGGTTCGAATCCCGGCCGGACTTTTTCTTATTTCATTATGTTTGCAATTGATATTTTTTTGCGGTAAAATTTTTATTTTTCGAACTTTCGTTTATCTGCTCAAATTTTGTCGGCTTAGTTGCCACATCACGGATTTTTCTTGTGATGTAAGCAAGTATCACGGCAGTTGCAAATGTTTTTCATTGTCATTTCGGGGGGAGGGGGGTCTTTTTATTTTTTAAAAGTTTTTTATAAAATCAGTTTTTTTTTCTGCTCATTTAGTGTCTGCTCAAAGTTTGTCGACCTTGTTTCCGCTTTGTAACTTTTATTCCCTTGCTCATATAAAATTCAACTATTTTGCTTGGCTTGTTTGCCTAGAGTTTCTGTTTGATAAAAACAGGTTGTTTCAAGATGTATGGGGTTGGGTTTTTATTGGTGCCGCATCAGTAAAACAAATTCAGAAAATATCAACCAAGTACCTCCAGCTGTAGCTGGGCCGCTAGTTTTTTTTATCGAGACATACGAAAATTTTGGTGCATTTAGTTTTTTCTCAACAATTTTCTTTGTTATCGAGTTTTTATGTTTTTTTTCTGTATGTGTTGTATCCCAAATAGTGCCAAACTCCGGTTCGCCTCTGTGTTCATTTTTTTAAATGTTACTGTTTTATCGCATTTAGACTTTTATAATTTTGTATCGCATTTATAATCGGGACTTAGACTTTTTCCGTAAATAACTTTTCTTACATTTTTGTAACTAATTAATGTGGCTGTATTATCGAATCTTAGCAGCTTACAGTCCTGTGCAGACTTGGTCTGGGGGTAATGCAGTTGCCTTTTTACCCTATGGTCTGGGGTTCGAGTCGCGGCCGGACCTTTTTTCGTGTATAAAATTGATTTTTTTTCGGGAAAAATTGAATTGTCGGACTATCGTTTGTCGGCTTTTGTTGGCTGAGTTGCCACCACAGATTTTTTGCGTTGTAAGCATTTTTCAGTTTATATATGTCGTTGTTTACTCCTATAGCTCCTAAATTTATAAACCTGGCCGGTATGTTTTTCTTCTTTTTGTATTTGTTTCGCTTAGAAATTTTTTTCGGCTTAATTGATTTTGGCCTATGTTTTGTCGGATCAGTGAACCATATTTTTATCCGTTTGAAGAGAAAAAATGGTCTTAATTGTTTTAAACAACTTAGGTCGATTGAACTATCAAAATTTTAATTTCAATCAACTTAATCGCTCGACATTTTTATGGTGTCAAATTCTTTTGGCATTTTTGTTCTAGGATCAATGGGCGTCTCAGCCCGTGTTGTCGGCTTAGTTACTGCACGGTCAACTAAAAGCTTGTTTAATGCTATAGTGGTTCTGTTCTTCGTCTGTTTGTTTTCCAATTGAAATTTTCATATTTCCAAACTTAATGACTTACGTATCACTTTCAAATCGCTAGCTTACAATGCTTGGCTTTTGTTTTTATAGCAAGTGACGTGAATCGCCGCATTGACTTTTTTGTGTATCATTGCATGTAAACCATTTTTTCCGTACGTTTTTAAGTAGGTTTAAGGACAATACTAGTAGATGGAGTCTTTAGAGTGTTTTTTTTTATATGTTTTTCTACGTATAGATTTTTGGTTTTTTGACATCCGATTTTAGCTTCAAAACGATTGATTGAAACTGCTGAATTTTTTTTGGTTTGTTGTTAATGCTTAAAGCAAATTAAGGAACACAAAAGCAGCGGCGACCGAGATTGAAAGTAGGTGGCAATGTCGAAGCCATTTCAGCCGTGATTTAGACTGTAAAAGAAAATGCAGACAGGTTCTTTCAGTATCGAGAAAAGTGGTCCAATTTTTTTTCATGCATAATATACGCGGCGGTCATAACAAATATTAATTTAATTCAAATTAGCGATTAAAAACTTTTTAAAGTTGGTATTTTTGACTTTCTGGAACTTTCAATAACACTTTGATTTTCCATTTAATTGAGTATCTGAAGTTCTTTTTTTAATAGCCTCTGGTTCAGCTCCCACCATTAAACCTTGGGATTTTCTTCCGCGGGCGAGAGAGATGTCATCCATTTTGCCGCAGCTGGTCTATCTAAAGTTCTCATGCATTTCAGATTTGGCGGTCATCCTCAAATACGAAGGCGGAAGATCTGCCAGTCTGTCTACCTCCATCACGTGCCATAGACCCAACTCAGCTGTGATCTGTGGCACCCAGGGCTACATTGAAATCTCACCCCCTTTCTTCCACTGTGCCACCGAGTATCTCCTGTTCAAGAAAGGAGACACTCAGCCAACCCTGCATTCGGTTGGTGTATAATTTTGACGCTTTTCATGTGTCTCCTAAATAGAAAATTTTTAAGTTTTACGTCTCCGTTTCATGTAATTTTGGCATATAGTATGATTTTAGTGGTCATATTGTAAAAACAACAGGACTTTTTGGGGGATAAATGAGTTCAGACCAACTAAAATGATGATTTCTAACTCCGACACGATTATTCTCATGAACTCTTTTGTAATAAGTCAATCACTTTTTTTGCAATTATAATTAGATCGATTTAGAGAACTTTCATAATTAACAATTCATAATTCAAACAATTAAGCTAGCCAGTAAAAGCATGGTTCGACCGGGAAAAATTTAAGATTCAACGAGAAATCTGAAGTTGAAATATCACATTCATTTTTTAATTTTAAGATGTTCTTGATAATATTATAATATAACAATTCATAATATTAAAGTATGACAATTTAAGATGTTCAAGGCTTTCTGGAACATACGAAATAATAGTCTCCCGTCTTCTCTGAAAACTTAAACACGTTGATTGAAATGTTGTTTCTGTTTATTGGAAAGCTAATCCAAGTCACCGAAGTAATTCGTCTAAAAGAAGAAACCGATGAGTTCCATTATCCAATGACCGAGATATATAAAGAATGGGAAACGGGAATAACCAGCAGGGTTAACGTAATACCACAACAGTCAATATTACAAGTTTTTCGACAGCATTGCTGACGTCGAGGATATACCAATTCGACTTAACATTATCTTTCCTTTCGTAGAATTTAGTAGTCACTAAAAGCCATTCTGGTTTGCTAAAGACCACCCGGGTACTATCAATGATGAGATTTTTTTTCTATCTGGGCAAATATATCCAATCTTATTGTTACCTGAAAATTCTGCCTTTCCCGTTTTTTATCTCACAAAGAATATAAATTTTTTTGTCGAGAAATTTTTCGATGTCAAATTTGTAGTGACGTTCACGAAATACAACTTTTGAAGACGGAGGGCAGGCAATTCCTTGACCAACTTTTGAGCAATCGATAACACCGTAAATGGAGTGAACGCTAAACTTTTTTTCAAAATTTTTAATACACAAAACCGTTCTTTTCATCATCAATTGGTTGGTAGATCGATAGAAGACGATCTTCAATTAGCATAGAGAGATGATCAGCATGTTCGAGTACAAATCCGACTTCATGTTATGTTAAAGAAAAAACTCGACTGAATCAGAACTTACCCGTAGAGGAGTTCCAGTTGTAACAGCAGCTGCCATAGCCGGCATTGTCCTTTTCGGTTCGAGCATCGTCATAGGAAACTCAATCATTTGAGGAATAATGGGAATATGCGGCTCGCGCCAGGATCACGCTAGAGTCAACGCAAAGAAAATTGAGTCGCTCGACCAATTTTCGATGGCCTTAACATGCTATGTCTCAGAAATCGAAGCTAAAGAAAACGATAATATCTTTGCCATTTGTAACAAAATAGCGGAAGTCAACTCAACTCAAGAATAAACTCTGACTACTAGAATACGAACGGCAGAAAGTTTCAAGCGTAGTTCGATGCAATAATAAGAAATTTCTATATCCTAAGAGATCCAACTATGCCAAGATAGCATCCTTTTTCACTGCAATCCATGCAGATAACCAGCTACAAAGCTGCTCCCCTTGCAGTTAAAACGAAAATTCTGAATTCAATTCCAAGATCATCCAAGAACTCAAGCCTTCGGACCAGAGACATCCAATTTCTCTCGTTCCTGAATCGCTGGTGGCAGTTTTTGACGCAGTTAGAGAAACCAGAAAGACAAGGACCATCATTTAACACAGCAATTCCACCATGCGACGTTCTTCCATTCTACAATACGAAATTGTTGCGTGTTGTCATGACCATCGACGAAGAACTGATGTTTTGATTTCTCACTCGATTCAAGGTGCTTACTTCTCTGCTCTGCTCCGGAAACTAATTCATCCTGAATAGCTAGCTGAGCAGGATGGATTGACTCAAAAAAGGCTACAATGAGCTAAGATCAAATAGCACGAAGAAGCGGGAGGGCTCAATTTCCTTCAAAGAGGAGAGCTAAATGTCCTTCAAAGAGGAGAGCTAAATGTCCTTCAAAGAGGAGAGCTAAATGTCCTTGAAAGAGGAGAGCTAAATGTCCTTGAAACAGGAGAGCTAAATTTCCTTGAAAGAACTAATTAACTTGACGAAGGATACTGACCCCACAATAGAACAACAAAATTCGAGATTAATTCAGGCGAGTTAAATTTAGAAACGACATTAAAGTTACGCTTTTTAGTGGCGTAATCTATCTATCCGGCCCCGGGCTAATAACACTGGACCAGGGATCAAAAGCCATCGAGGCTACAACAATCACTATTGTTGAGCATAGCGATACCATATTCGTCGAATCAATCAGAGTTTCAAAAATAAAGAGCAGAAGTCATACCAATACCACAATGAGATCCGACCGAAGCTCTATGATTTGTCGGAAGATTTATTGCAATTTACTGTCTTCGCCGAAGACCAATATTCGTAACTTTTGAGAACATCAACATGTTGTTTATACCACTTGACGATGGAAACTTCTGCATCGCCAGACAGTTCTTTTATGTGCAATAGGAGCGCTGACTGTGTGCGTCGCAGAAAAATTCTCCTAACGCCCGAGAACTGAACGGTTTTTGTATAGGGCACTTAACTCATCTTGAGCCAGCTCAGCGTTTGTCTTGGAGTATAGCTTAGACGAAACAAATACGCCTAGAGGCTGGAACATACGGGCTGCAACATATGCCTGATAAAATAGGACAACGGAGCTCAATGTATCAAAATCAATGCCGAAGTGTATCAAAATTAGGAAGGACCTTGATAAGTGTGTTAAAATGCCAGCAGTTCGGATATCCGTAGATTTGACGGAACTATTGTCACCTTTACGTTAAGAACTTCCAGACAAATCGGAGCTACATTACTTTCGGTGTCAAAATTGATGATAGAGGATGTGAAAGCTAAGTTCATCTGTAGTCTGAATTTGACAAAATCGACCAATATTGCAAACAGTTTAAAGCGTCTGAAACCATCATTTGTAGACGAGACGGAACAGTATGCATCACTAAAGGTGGCTCGGACGCTGACGCTAAAAGTCAAGATAGTATGTATGACGTCAGTAGAATTCATGATTCAGACTTTATAAAACAAAAATGTTCCATTCATTTTAATGATTGTATTTCTTCTTTTTGTCTGTTAAACGAATATATAGCATGCTCACTAATTAGAGTAGCCCTAGATTGAAAGATTTAGAAACAGTCGATGAGAATTTTTGGTCTAAACCCACCTTTAATTGAGAAACATTAGCTGAAGACCAGGAGATTGCATATGTCACAAAGAGGATCCCCTTAAAAATTAGCTGGAACTGCTGACGCACTGTTTGACCTATCAATCTATCTAAAAAGGAAAAAAATAACTAAAACACACCCGAATACAAAGTTCCTCCCAATTTTCAATGGTCGGAATAATAACAGTAAAACAACAGTAAACCAGTAACGGTATAGTGCAAATCCCTATCACGATGTCCAAACGATGTTATAACAGAACATAAAACAGAATAAAAATGAACCTGAAATTTCACTGTCGTCATAACCTTTGAGAAAAGGCCTTAAAAATAGTTCAATTCGGAAATAACGTGCATTTTAGAATGATTTCATTCTATGAAAATCATTCAACCAAAAAATGAAATTTTTGCATCTTGATAACCTTGATAAGTGTGTTAAAATGCCAGCAGTTCGGATATCCGTAGATTTGACGGAAATATTGTCACCTTTACACTAAGAACTTCCAGACAAATCGGAGCTACATTACTTTTGGTGTCAAAATTGATGATATAGGATGTGAAAGCTAAGTTCATCTGTAGTCTGAATTTGACAAAATCGATCAATATTGCAAACAGTTTGAAGCGTCAGAAACCGTCATTTGTAAACGAGACGGAACAGTATGGATCACTAAAGGTGGCTCGGACGCTAACGCTAAAAGTCAAGAGAGTATGTATGAAGTCAGTAGAGTTCATGATTCAGACTTCATAAAACAAAAACGTTCCATTCATTTTAATGATTGTATTTCTTCTTTTTGCCTGTTAAACAAATATATAGCATGCTCACTAATTAGAGTAACCCTAGATTGAAAGATTTAGAAATAGTCGATGAGATTTTTTGGTCTAAACCCACATTTAATTGAGAAACATAAGCTGAAGACCAGGAGATTGCATATGTCACAAAGAGGATCCCCTTAAAAATTAGCTGGAACTGCTGACGCACTGTTTGACCTATCAATCTATCTAAAAAGGAAAAAAATAACTAAAACACACCCGAATACAAAGTTCCTCCCAATTTTCAATGGTCGGAATAATAACAGTAAAACAACAATAAACCAGTAACGGTATAGTGCAAATCCCTATCACGATGTCCAAACGATGTTATAACAGAAGATAAAACAGAATAAAAATGAACCTGAAATTTCACTGTCGTCATAACCTTTGAGAAAAGGCCTTAAAAATAGTTCAATTCGGAAATAACGTGCATTTTAGAATGAGTTCAATCTATGAAAATCATACAACCAAAAAATGAAATTTTTTGCATCAAAAAATTCAAAAAATATGATAATAAAAATTTAAAGCAACTGTTTCAATGAAAAGTTGAAGCAACTGTTGTACTGAAAAAGATGAAGGGATACAGCAGTCAATAAAACACTATAATGTACCGTTTATGAATATAATGTCTGATCAAAATTGATTTAAGCTAAATTTTGTATTGCTGTGTTATGATGTACATTTGTTTTATCTTCTGTAGCGTTTGACTCGCATGCTTAAGATAATTCCGAGTTTTTTTTCAGTAGTTTATTTTTTTACCATTAAAAATTCATTTAATTGAGAAACATCGGCTGAAGCTATGGAGACTGCATCAGTCTTAAGCATCTCTCTGTGAAATTATTTGTTAAACTTATCGCGTAATTCTTGACCTATCAATCTATGTAAAATAGAATAACAAAAGTAAGACAGTGTACCAGTAACAGTATAGTATGAAACCCGATCACGATGTCTGAACAATGTTATAGAAGAGCATAAAATAACTGGAAATCTCACTGCAGACAGAATTCTCAAACTTTTTTCCTTACTCATAGCTATTTCGGAAATAACGTGGTATTTGGAATCATTCTAATATATAAAAATCATTCAACAAAAAAATGAAAACATTTTTGCATCAAAAAAATCAAAAAATTGTTTTAATGAAAATTTAACGCAGCTGGTTGAATGAAAAAGTTGAAGCAACGGTTCTAATGAAAAATTTTAAGGAATAGAGCAACCCAAAATTTACTATGATGAGCTCATTATGAATATTTTGAATGAGATAAAAATTGATTTGGGCTATAATTACGTATAGCTATGTGTTCTGATGTACATTTATTTTATTTTCGGTAGCGTTTGACTCTCATGATTAAGATAATTCCGCGGTTGTTTTTTCTAAAGAATAATTTATTTTTTTTTACCATTAAAAGTTCATTTAATTGAGAAACATCGGCTGAAGATATGGAGAATGCATCAGTCCTAGGAATTCCCCAGTGAAAATATTTTTAAACCTCTCGCGCAATATTCGAGCTATCAATCTATCTAAAATATAATAAAAAATAAGACAGTGTACCAGTAACGGTATACTATAAAACCCGATCACGATGTCCAAACAATGTTATAAAAGAACATAAAATAAGACTGTAGAGATGAATTCTTAAACATTTTTTTACAAACAGCTTTTCCGGAAATAACGTGCTATTTGGAATTATTCTAATATATAAAAATCATTCAAACAAAAAATGAAATTTATTGCATAAAAAAAATCAAGAAATTGTTGAAAAAAAGTTTAACACAGCTGTTTTAATGGCAACTTAGAGCAACTGTTCTAATGAAAACTTAGAGGAACTGTTCTAATGAAAAGTTAAAGTAACTGTTCTCATGAAAACTTAGAGCAACTGTTCTAATGAAAAAGTTTAAGGAATACAGCAACCAATAACTTACTATAATGAGCTCATTGTGAATATATTGAATGTGATAAAAAGTGATTTGAGCTAAAATTACGCGCAGCTACTCTTGTTTTAGTTTTGATAACGTTTAGCTTTCAGCGTTAAGATAATTCCTTGTTTGTTTTTAAAGAATTTTTTATTTTTTCATCATGAAAGTTTTCATTGCTTTTTTAAAACTATTACTTAATTTTGCAACTTGAAAATCGAATGTTGGGGGGGGGGGGGGGTGGGGGCAAGGGAAAGAAGGCGGGGTTTTTTGTACCGATTAGAAATACACTATCTCCACAACGCAGCAAGTGATGGTTCTTTAGTAGATATTTAATAGCATAGGCACTTTTATGAAAGAAGCTAACACTTTTTCTTGTGGATTATACACATGCATTATTTTTTCGTGCGGTTCACTTTTTGCCAATTTACGCTAGTTTTTTTTGAGAGAGTGCTTTTTTGGGGAAAGTGCATCTTTTTTGGATCGAAGAAACATCCTTTCCCCTAAATGACCAAGTTGAGATCTTTCGACCCTATCCCCAATCATTAATTTGAAGAAATTTGCCGAGCTTGTTGTGCCAATCACTGATTCTGATTGGCTGAAAGTGAAAAATTAAAACTAATATGTTATGTAACATCCCCCTCTACGAAAAAAATATGCGCTAGTGGAAGTTTTTTTAAATTAGTCTCTTCTTTGCTTGAGAGCGTTTCAATTTTGTAGAAACATTGTTCACTTCCAGGGCGAATTTAGGGGGGGGGGGGACGCCTCCCCCACCCCTCAGGGATTCGACTCCCTGCCGACATAAAGGGTCACCCCTTTGGTACTTTTTAAGAAATCCATTTTTGGCCGACCGACCCTAAAATTGTTCTAAAGGCGCCTTGGGCGCCAATATATACTAATTTTGAGAGGGAGCGCGCGCCAAAAAAACGCGATTTTTTTTGGCAAAATTTTCAAAAAACTGCCAAAAACGGCTTTTTTGAGCTGTTTTTTAAAAATTTTCAAATTTTACCAAAAAACAAAGTCTTTTTATTGTTTGAGGAGAGCTCGGAAAGTCAATTTGGTCGACCTAAAAAAAAGGTCGTCAAATTTTTCGAAAAATTTTTGAAAATCCGCCCCACCCTCGAGAAAATCCTAGATCCGCTCCTGATCAGTTCAGCATCGAACGAATCCATTTTTTGAAATGGCATTATTATAAAGCGTCTTAGCCGCCCAAGGCAGCCTTATGCCCTATTTTTCCTATTTAGTATCTGTTTTAGTTCCCTCTATCTGAAGATAGAATCTCAGAATATATCTATCCAGCTGGCGAGGGATTCAAATATGAAATTGAACACGTAAGACACTGTCTAAAGGAGAAGAAAGTAAAAGAGAGCCCAGTTATTGATCTGGAAGCCACTCTGAGACTTGCCAGAGTGACGGACGAGATAGTCAAACAGGTCTTAGCCAAGCCATTTACGAAAGATTAGACTGGCGTTACGACCTAGATTTTAGTCTTCGTAATTGCGAAAAAGATCTCAGCTCGAATTTTATCGGTGCTACAATGCCCAAACAACTTCGAAAATAAATAACGTGATGCTAGTTTTGCCGAGCAAAAATAGTTTTTATTTATAAATGTAGATCTTATCAAAAAGAGAATATTGATTCATACTAACTTAATGGCAGATTTCCCCCACCGGTGCATTTTTTGGTGTTTTACTCTGATACCTGAATATGACGAATGCCTGCCAAACATAAAGGACAAGAATTTTTTTTTTTAAAAAACTAATTTGGTTAGTGTTTACGTTTGCGGGCGTTGTAATACATCTTTCAGGCTAACAATTTGTTCAACAGAACCACTAAATTATTTCGTGCCGATGCAAAGTTGCTGCTACAGACACTCTTTTCGAGCATTTCTGGATTTTAGATACCCGTTCTACTCGAAGTTTGTGCTTATTTTGGCTGGATACAACCACTGAATAATTTGTGCAGTTATCATTTGGGCAGCATTCAATTCTGCAGCAAACATGCTAATTTTTTTGAAAATTTTAATTTAACCACTGGTTTTGAAAACTAGTTGACGCCTAAGGGCCTAAGCTTGAAGCACCTGTTTTTTTAAAGCCCGAAGTATTTAATATCAAACAAAAATCATCGGCCTATCAGTTTTCTGCTGATATTTTGTTGGCTTAGGTCCCATATTTCTTACCTTTCTTGTGCTGTAAGCTAATTTTATTGTAAATGAAAGTGTTTTTGATTCGTTTATGTAATTTGAAGATATAAAACTGACCTAGTATAATTTCTTTTTCTTTTCGCTTAAAAGCTTTCTTTGGCTTAAATAGTCTCGGCGTTTGTTTTATCGGCTTATGGACCTATATTTGAGTTTTATGAGGCAAAAAATAGATTCTCATCCTTTTGCGCGTTTCCGATAGAGGAGGCCTGTAAAAATTTCGAGTTTCAGAAATTATAGCTCAAAATTTTTCGTTAACAATTTTTTACTCGCTTTCAATAAATTCTTGTGAATATATTTTTTGCTGGTGGCTGTGCTGTTGGACGTGCTCTTCTCAAACTGAAGATCATTCCAGACAAAATAATGGAAATCTTTGTTGGTGTAATCTTTTCGATTTTCAATTTTTATACATGTTTGGTATCGCACGTGGTGCGAAGCTCCGCTTGGCCATTGTAACACTTGCATTAAGACTTTCCTTTTTACATTAGCGAGCTTGCGAGCGTTAGTGTATTAGTATGAACCTTCTTTTTCGAAATTAATCGCAATTAAAAGAATTCATTGAAAAGGTTTACTTATTTGGTGACACTTTTGCTATAATAACGATCTGTAGCATTGGAAATGTCATAGCATCTGTTCTCTGATTTATTTTTGGCTAGTTTTTAGTACTTATTAAGAGTCCGTGGCTGAGTGGTTAGTGTGTGAGACTCATAATCTTTAGCTCGCAGATCAAATCCCTGAGGTAGCCGATTGTTTACTAATTCGAAGCTTATTTCTGCTTATTCTTAATGAACTTTATAAAGCTGCTTTTTGTCGTGTTCTTGCTAGTGTTTGCGAAGCCCAGCTTCGCCTCTGTGTGAAAATATCTCCTCATGTGTGCCTTCGGCTCGGTTCTTCCCTGTCCAAAAACAGAAATATTTTGAGCATGTCCGCTTTTAAAAGTCAGTTTTGCTCAAATTCTTAACTCTGACGCTAATTTCTTTTTTACCCCTGCAATAAGCAAGGGTGTTGCAATCTGGTACTAGTATTTTTTCCCGCAATCAGCTTTGTTAGCAATACGGTAAATTTAGGAAGTTCGCAATGGTAAATGTACAAATATGCATCTTAGTTATTTTGCCTAAACAGGGCTTGTAAAATTTTGCATTAAATGTGTTATATGTAAGATTGTTCTTAGTGATTTCTTGCTGAAAAAATTTCGGCTGGTTTTCAGCTGATAAAGTTGTCTTTAATTCTGTCGGCTTATTTACCAAATGCTTTGTCTTCTTATATTTCCTCGTATTTTTTATATTCATCCAGTAATTTATTTTTGAAATTTTTTGCTCAATTCTTCAGTTTTCTTTAAAAAAGTATTAAGATTGAAAAACTTTTCGATATATAGCGTTTTTTAAAATTTTCTTATAATTTGTTGAAACTTTCTTCCTCGATACTCCTTGAGTTGCTTGCTGTTTTTTCATATTTCTTTTTTCGGAGGTAAAAGTTTTTTGTATACTTTTCAATCAGTTTTTAAGCATATTCAATTATTCATTATTATTTTTCATCATCTTCATTATTTTTCAATTATAATTTTAAATCAGTTCTTAGCAATTTTGTTGTTATAATTTTCATTAAGTTTTTTCGTCAATTGATTTTATTTTTCCTCAATTGGTTTTTAGCCTGTATGTTTTGTAGAACGATAACTTTCTTCCGCAACAGAGCCTGGTTTAGGAGGCCTTAATTGCTATCGAATCACAAAATACTCTAAGAATATTTTTTTATTTTCTACTTTAGTTTTTGGGTTTTTCTTAATTTTTGGAAATGTCAATTAAGTTCTTTATAGTTTTTTTTTTCATTTGCAATCAAGTTAAAGCAGATAATTTTATTCGGATTTTCTTTTCATACCGACCAAAAGTTTTTGCTAGCGAAGAAAAATCAAACAGACGACAGTTTTTCGGCATGATTTTTTGTTGGATATTTTTTTCGTCTTAGTATGTCTTAATTCATAGCACATTGATGACCTACATGATGCCTCAGACATATTGTTTCAAATCGATTCAAATTAATTGCATATCAGTTTTTGACAAAAAAAAATCAAGGTTTCTACATTTTCTGCTTTTTAGAAATCTCACGTTTGGATTTTTGAACTATTTTTCCCGGCCCAACAGGTATCATCCCAAGTGTTGTCTGCATAGTTACCGTTCGGTATTTGTTAAAAGTTGATTCAAACCTGGCCCTTTTTTTTGTTTATCACCTGAGTTTCATTTCAGACAAACATGAGCAAACTTTTTTTTTTACAATTCGGTGGCTTTTTGTATAGCAGGCTGTGCAAAGCTCAGCTTCACCTCTGCGTTTATTTATGCTGGCGATTAACAAGTGTTTACACAGGCAAAGCCAAGTATTTTTCCAACCCAAAACTCAAATATTGTTGCGACGCAAATATTGTTGCGGCAAAATGTGTTCATTTTGAAAGTGTTCCTTTTGATCAATAACCAGCTAGTAAGTTCAGCCAATGCTAAGTATATTAGCACAGACTGTTATATTACAAATAGTGCTTTAGTTTCAATGTATCATGGATCTGTAGCGTAGAGGTAGGGAAGCAGACCAGCAAAAAAATAAGAGCGTTCGAACCTGGGCAGGGTCTGATGTTTTTAATGAACTTTTTCGTATAATAGTTAAAATGCGTCCGCTCTATAAATTTAGGCATGTTAGTTGGTATTTTTTTCTAATTGACAGGTACTGCTAATGCGTCATAATTAACTTGCGTCACTTAGCAGTTATGTAGACTCATAATTGGCGTGCGTCACCTAAGAAGTTTTGTAGACTCAAGATTTTACTCATTCAGTTTTTCCCAGTGGCGTTTTATCGGTCATATTTTTGCTTGTGTATGCAAAGTGCTACTTCGCCTCTGTGTATGAAATTGCAATGCAGATTTTTTTGGTTAACAACTAGTTAAACAAAGTCACTGAATCATTTGTGCAGCATTTATTTCTGCAGCCAACATGCTCAATTTTTTGAAAATTCATATTTAACTACTGGTTACAAAAACTAGTTGACGGCTAAGGGCCCAGGCTCGAATCCGATCAGCTTGTTTTTTTTTACTATAAGTGGAAAAGTGTTTAATAAATCATCGTTCTATCAGTTGTCTGCTATTGTTTTTAACATAAAAAAGTGTCTAGTATAAAAAATCATCGCCCTATCAGTTGTCTGCTTATGTTTTTATCGGCCTGCCTTTCTTGTGTTGTATGCTAATTTCATTGTAAATGAAAGTGTCTTTGATTTTGTTATTACATGACATTCCCAGTCACTATCACTTATGACCAAGGAGAAACCAGGTACCTCTGAATGGCTATGTTATGAGCAGTCGTGGTCGAGTGGGTTAGGCCCATGTCTCTCATCACGAGGGTCATGCAGTCTAATCCCGATTCGGTCACGGTTGGAGGGGTCCCAGTGTCATCCGCCTCCTCGAGGTGGGACCGGCTGCGGCGAAATGGTTGACATCTCCCTCCCTCGTGGTTGGACCTGCACTGAGCAGGCCGGGGCTAATAAAAAATGGCTATGTTATCAATTTTTTTATTCTTGCGATCAGCAAGGGTATTGCAATCGGGTGCTACTTTTTTTCCCGTAAATGACTTTGTTCACAGAATAGTCAAAATTAGAATTTGACTCCCGACTTATCTGTTTATGTTTTGTCGGCTTTTTTGCCTCATCGTATAATTGTTATTTGTTCTAGACGCAATTTACATTGAAGTTGATCTTAGTGTTTTGATTTACGTCGGCTGATTGGTTTCGACCTATCTTGTATTGGCTTCGTGCTATCATATTACGTCTTTCGATGAGCGTAAAAAGTTTGTGTGTGCGTGTTTGTTTTGAGGTTGAGGGGCACTTAATAATTTTTCGGCATATAACATATTGGCTAAGTAGTCGGATATTGTTTCATTTGACGAGCAAAGAGAATTTTGTGTGTGTTTTTAGGGTGAGGGGCACTTGTTAAATTTTTAAAAGCCATAAGTCTTGTTGAATTTTTTTGTCTTCAAGGGTTTCTGCTGAGATATTTTCGGTTCTGTTACCGCTTGGTAAATTTTCTCCCCATGCTAATTTCACTTTGTTTTGTCTTGGCATGTTTTTGATTCAGTTTAAGATCTAGTTTTGTCACATTTTTGATTTTTTAAATTTTTTTTCCACAAGCGGTTTTCTTGTTTTGTATCGCAAGTAGTGCGAAGCACAGCTTCGCCTCTGTCCTAAATTTTTAAAGTTTGTTCGTCTTAGTAGCTGTCAGAATTTATATCGGCTTAGTAGTCTCTTTTTGCAACATTTGTTGGGCAAAAGCTATTTTGATGCTGAGTAGGAACTTTATGCTCGGAATTTAAGATCTTATCAAATATTGTCGACTTAGTTGTCGCTTCCTAAAATTTGTTCCAACGCTAAAATATCGCCGGTAATTTTCTTTCTCGACCTGTTCTCATAAAGTTTCTTTCGAGAGAATTTTTTTTTGGTTTCATTCTAAACATTAAGATTTTTGACTTAGTGACTTTCGCTTCATTTTTGTCGACTGGCTCACCATGCAAGCTAT